CGATTTTCACAACATCATCTGTCATACATCAACCTCCTCAGTACTCGCCATCATTGTAGGTAGTGATGTCCCGTGATAGTTGATACAATACCTCGAACCGGTAAGTAATTCATAATCGTTTTTACAATCGAATAATGCGTGAAACAAAAATATATTATTTAGATTTAGAATTTAAGGACAAATTTTTACTTTTAAAAACAATTATTTCATGTACTTTTGTTGGAATTTTAGTATGACAAAAACAGGACCTATTATTGATTTGAAAATAAAGTTAAATTTGACGAATAAAGTTTCTCGATATCAAAAAATATGCGTAGAAATAATATTTCCAATTTTGGAAAATCGTGGAAACGTATTACACCACAATATTTTTTTAAAAAATATGCGTTATCGTCGGGGCGCTTATTTAGTTATTCTTATTATTCCTTGAACTAAGTTCGAGCATGTAATGTAGAAGCCCGAATGTTACTCCAGCTGATAGTAGGTCACATCTGCCGTTAAATATTCTACAAAAATATGTAGTTAAATATTATTTATTTTTTACCTGTACATTAAATTAATCTGTTTTAATTTGATAATGGTTACTTCTTTACATTATTCTCAGGTGACGCTTAAGACATGGAAATTTTTAATAAGCAAAATTTTATCGATCTCGAATCGATGCTGCGATAGACCACACTATGCAACCATAGAGTTGTCACCGGTCTAGTCAATAGTCGTCCTCTGTCAAACTTGATTAAGACGAATGAATTTGTTTTGGGTGTGTGTATTTTTCGCCTATTTTTTCATTTTATGCAAGAAGAACAAATTAGCAACCACATACACTACTTCCGAAAACGTATACCCTATATCTACAGGATCTGTTAAATGGTGTTTAGGTCCTAATTCAAATAAAATACGGTATATTTTTTTAAATTTATCTTGGAATTGAGTATACTCTGATTTTAATTCCGTAGAATTCTGACAGCTATAATTTTTTGACATGTCAGAGATTACAAACCTTTTTTGCCGGGCACATTTTTCAATTTAAATACGATTCTATAATCTATACATAAGTAAGTAAATATTTAGATTTACTTTTTTGTAGGTAAAAAATAAGTAGCATTTAATTTTTATGCCCTCAAATGGGTCAAATTTGCCCCTTTTTCGGTGGAGAACTTTTTTAGTAGCAACACTTATGAAATGTCAGAATTCTACGGAATGTATATCAGAGTTTAGTTATATAAAATATTCTTAAAAGACTGACTACGCACTTGTGAACCTTCTGGCAGCGTAAGTGTCCATGGGCGGCTGTAGCACTTAACATCAGATGAGGCTCTAGTCCGTTTCCCCGTTAATATAATAAAAAACAAATATACGCCTCCTAATATTGCTAACTTCAGGATATATCTTAATAGTAGTAGTAAAATGTATTTTTTTCTTTTTTTTTTTTTTTTTTTTTTTTTTTGTTTTTTTTTTTTTTTTTTTTTTTTTTTTTAATTTCTTTTCCCCCCCCCCCCCCCCCCCCCCCCCCCCCCCCCCCCTCCCCTCCCCCCCCTTTAAATCAGTGAATGTTTAACAAAATAAAATGTAATTTTTTGAACATTGAATAACTGTTACAGTTCTTTACGTTCAGCTATAATTCTTTATCCTCCTTTTTTTTGCTTGTAGTGTTATATTTTCCAAAAAAAAAACCATTTCTATTCAGAATTTTTCAATTTGAATCGGTTGTTTTACAGATTAGCGCATTCAAATCAAACAAACTCTTTTGTTAGTGTTATGATAGTTTAAATAAGGGTAATTTTATTTTAAATTTGTTTTATCTAAAATATCTACTCATTGATGATTTGTTATTATTCACAATATATGTTTAACACAAGAAATTTAGATTATCTTTAGGCATATTTTAAGTTATTGTACGCATAAATACCTACTCGTATGTAGTGTAAGTAATTTAATGCTCGTTCATCGGCCCAATTTTAAGTCTTGATTTAGTAGAAATACCAGCAATAAATGCAAAACATATTAATACATATTTATATTCGTATAGTATGGCCATATAAGGCTTTGTAATAGCGGTAAATTGAATTATATCGTTTTGTCCTCGTTTATCGTATAGCATCTTTTTATAAAGCGTAGTTAATTTCTTCAAATATTCCGTATCGCGGCACCAGCGATTTTGAGGCTGATTTTATTTTTTGGACTTTGTCATGAGTTCTCAGCACCATAACTAGTGTTGTTATGATGGCGCATGACCTTTTTTGCCAATACAAAAAAATTCAAAAAGTACCCAAAACCGAATCAGAGCACCCCACTATCCACGTGGTCTTGTCTGCCTTACCCCTAGAGTGTATATAAAAAATCGGAGGTGCGGAGGAAGAGCAGCCCCCACCCGCTGTAACAAACCACAGGCATTATGCTTGAATAAAATGCCTGTGTTTTGGTACGCAAGGGCGGAGGGGCCGCATTTCCCGCAGCGCCGGAGCTGTCCAAAAAACCTATTATTAATATTGTTCGGTTAACTAACTAACCTAACCTAGGTTAGTATATCAATATTTTTTTTAAATAAATTGTTTTTTTTTCATGCGCCATCATAACAATACTAGTTATGATGTTTACAGATCATAACGTGACTGTAAAAAAAATCTGACTGAAAATCGCTGGTGCCGCGATACGGAATATTTACCGCCATAGTATATAGTGAGTAGGTCGTAGTCCTACTTGCGATTTTGTACAGAAACATATTAAATTAAAAAGTACAGTACATACCTATATGTAACGAAAATCTGCGCAGGCTGAAAATCGATTTTAATGTTTACAAGTTTCCTTTCATAGCAACGCGACGGTACAAAAATTGGTTGTGTATACGTTATATATTAGCTTAAAGAATCCTTTAATCATGGAGGAAGAAAAAAGTAAAGAAGAACAAGAAGACTGGAAAGTTTATGAAGCGCTGAGGTGTACGGAGGTAAGCTATGAATCTTTATTTTAGAAGTTCTAAAACATAGTACTACACAGGCACCCACTTTTTGCTAATATGTAAAACTTTAAAGTACACAAAAATATTAAAACATTTAGGCAATGGCTAAATAAAAGAAAATAATTAATTAGCAACTATTGCTAGCTGATAGCTTGCAGTGTTGCGGTCGTTATAAATGTGTGTGTATATGGAAAATTCTACTTTTATTCTACGTAATATATTTTTTCTTTTTTAGAGATAAATATATTATATAATTTAGACATAGACATATCATTTATTACAAAACAGAAACACACACACATAAACACGCAAAATAACAATAATCAAAGAGAAAAAATTAAATAAAAGATATATAAAATATTATTTTTTCCTTTTCCCACTCGGTTCGTCTCAAGTATGTAATGCGTGTGTGGAGTGGCTGTAATTGGCCCTGGCTCAGCATTATGCAGAGGAGCAGAATGTTCCACAGCACAATTTATTACTATAACTAACACGCATTTGATTTAACTCTGTATATATATTTTATAACATAGGTATTGAAAACGACACATTTACCTTGATAAATTCATACATTCTCCAACTATCTTATTTTTATTTATTTCGTAATACTACAGCTAACAAAAATTATATATAATAACAAACCATTACACTAAAAATATAGCCAGAGATGGAATACATAATATTTATCTACAAAAAGGTTCAAAAATTTACAAAAGGAAACAAAAAATATTCAATACATTTAACTAAGTGGTACCTAATTTGGGTTTGTTGTATGTTATTATAAAAATATATTAAGAAAAAAAAGAGGTTTCCGATTCCTTAAAATATCTATGCATGCGCTTATCCGTACCAAGCACGGGTATTACCTATTTTCGTTTATGATTGCTAATTATGGTAATGATCCTTGACGTAATCATGCGATTGCAGCTAAGGCACTTCTTCAGGAGGAATCTAAACGATGCTTTATACTAAAGAGCTTCGATTTGTTACTGGGAAAGTAGAAGCTCAATTTATTATAATCTCTCAAACCAGTATTTTGTTTTAACAAACATGTCGTAAATAACTTCCTAATATAATTATTTTAGTGAACTTGGAAGTGGATATAGTTTATTTACTGTGTGACTACAACACACAAATATTTACAAACACACAGTTTATTTTATTTACAATCAAGTATACAGTATTTACAATTTTCTTAACCTACAAAATAATAAAAAAATTATTAAAAAGTAAATTAAAACAAATTTACAAAGTTTGGTCCCTGTGGCAGTGTACCTTTAACACTAGCAGCATTTCCTCGCTGTATTTGCGATACTTATTCGTCGTTACACCGGTACTATCTACAAGGCGCCAACTTAAATAACTTATTGTGTAAATTAGAAAATTAAATCTCTCTTCTTCTATCCATTAGTTTCTATTAGTTAACCAGTTTAATTAAATGTCCTATAAAAATACTAGGTATACTACGCCATCATGACTTATCCAGGACTCAGGAGCATCTTGCGTTCAATTTCAAACTCCTAAGATTTTCTGATTCCTGGCAGCACTGACTTGCACGCCGGACTTTAGACAATTAGGAGTTTAACAAGGGGACTCTTTGACTTTTTTAGAAAAAATAACAGTTATTTTAAGTACGTACAGTTAAATATCCTGTTACATAAGTTGCCTTAACAACGGATATTGGATATGTAATATAACTCATAAATATCGTGCTGGCTTGCGAGGTTGAAATAGCATTTCTTATCACGCTATAGTAAAAATACTTTGATTCCCGATACCTAGTCGTCTTTTGCACGCCAACAACAACTGACTCCAATAATCATATTATATTTTGTCATGGAATTGTGTAAGTTCATAATATTTTTTGTAAGACAAGGTAGATTTGTGTATACTTACAGATTATTACTTTATAAGTATAGTATATTCTAGAACTATTAAACAAAGGATTAGAATATTTTAGTATATTTTACTCGGCCTAAACTTACTAGATTAGACTTATGCTTAAATGTAGAACTATTTCATTTAACGGTTTAATTTTCAGATGGATCCAGAGATAGGCAATGATATAGTTACTGCTCTTCGAAGTGATTTAGCGGGATTACAGTATAAGCGCAATAAATTAATTTCAGAGGTATTTTTATGTTCAATATGCTGTACGTTAGTAATTATTCAAAAAATAACGACACCATTTTTATTTTTTTTAGAACAGCGATTTAAAAAATCAAATGTTGTCACGAGACCAGCGTATATTGGAACAACAAGTAGAAATAGATCATCTTCGCGAGCAAAATGCTCGTCAGAATGCTATCATATCATCACTCAAAAAGAAAATTCAAGATTTGGAAGAGTTCAATCGTAATTTGCAATCGTCGCAAGGTAGAAGCGATTTGACCGTTCAAACCCTACAGAGAGATAACCGATATTGCGAGGAAAAGATAAAAGATTTAGAAAAGAAGCTAAGGTCTCTCGAGTTGGACTGTCATAATGAGGAACAACAAAAGGAAAATGCTCGGTGTCAGTTTCATGACCTCATCAGAAGGTTGTCTGTGGCTTTGGACGTGGAGTTTTGCGACACAGCTCACACGCATTCGCCTGAAAGTTTAATTATAAAAGCGGCAGAACTGGTTCAAGATATAACAAGATTAAAAAGCAAATGCATGAACACTACGGAGAACTTATCAACCATAGAACAGGATTTACGCAGTTGTCGTGATAGTTTGGAAAGGGCCAACTCTGATAAAGACATACTCCAAAGACAACTCTCTTCGCATCTTCTTGACATTGAGCGACTAAAACAAGAAAAGGAGTCTCTGGCGGTATCTAATAGAGTTTTAGAGAGAGAACTCCATGAGGCGCGAGAAAAATTTTCTCACTGTTCGAAAAATTTAAACGTCGTAACGGATAACGTGAATCAAAATGAATCAATGATTATTCAGTTAAAAGGTTTGTAGGGTTTTAGAAAACAAAATAGTTCGTAATAAAACAGTGTTATAATTACTTATTTTTAGAGGATTTACGACATCGAGATGAAAAATATCAAAGATTACAAACAGAGTTTCGTAATACTATGGAATCTATTGCAATCCTGCTAAGCCTGCCAACTCGCTTCGTTGAAGCTCATGAGAGTACTATTAAGGACCGAATTAGAGAAATACTTAGCGATAATAAAGATAAATCAGTGGTATGTATATTATACTAATTTAATAAAAATATAAACATTTTCACTATTTTAGAATGTTTTATTTCCTATTAGTCAAAATTAATTATATTGTTTATTTGTTCTCTTTTATTTAGTTATTTGTATGTGAAATTTGTGGTTTTTTCATTTTGTTGTTTCATTTCATCTGATAATTAATTAATTAATCTTTACTCATAACATCTTACTAGCAACTTGAAGCTTTCCGAGACAAATTGAACCTGGAAAGCCAGCAGCTAGGCAGGACGGCACACTTGCACGATCAAGCTTCCACTCGCGTGAGAATTTTAGAGGATGAAAGAAACATGCTTGAAGGCAAAGTGCATAAGCTGGAATCAGAACTTAATGCTTTGGAACTGTCTAAAGATAACTTGCGAAAAGATAAAGCAAATGTAAGTTGGTATAAGATTTTTTTTCTCGTGATTTGAAAATAGATACGTATATTTACTTTCTGAAAAGTTGCTAAACTTGAATCGTTAAGGAAAATACCTACACAAGTATTTACAAATTTTATTGTAAAAATAAGAAAGCTTTTTTAAATATGTTCTTAGGATATTGTAACTTCATGACGTAAATTCATTTCCCGACCTAATCTGTATATTGATTTTGTGCCGTGGTTTATCTTCCTTCCTAACATTAGTATTAATTTATATACACATTAACTTATAATATGATAAATAATTGTTTCGTCCCGCGAAAAATACTATTATTATTTTAGTTCGTTGCATTCCTTGAGCGACTCAGCCGAACTCTCAATATGGATGAGTTAACACAAGACATCGGTATAGAACTCCACACTGAGTCCATTATACATAGGGCCGAGCAACTGGCGAGACTCGAGAGCGATAAAATTGTAGACAAGGTCAGTTCCAGTAACTTAGTGAAAGGAAAAACATTCTTCTTTTTTATTCCAGTCACATTCAAGTATGGCAACATTACTCGACTTTAAATAACTTGTAATATATCCAGGATTGGCCACGAGGTCCTTCGTTATAAGACAAAGAGTATTTACAGTACTGGGTACCTCATACCTACCTTAAGTTAGTACTGCCTCTAGTTTATTTACTGAATATATTTTTTTATGTTTATTAATTTTTAATATCTTGTGTTTTCCTTTTTTTTAATACTGACTATATGATCTATATTTTAAGAAATTAGTTTAAAATATCACAAATAGTATTAAACGTGTATTGTACATAGCTGCTATATTATGGATACTATGGCACACTGCCGAGGCTGCGAAGAGAAAGATCTTTTCATGACTTACCCTATTTAAAAGAAGTAAGACTGGCATGGCATTAATAGATTCACGTATTTAGGAACATAAAATAAAGATGCTTAAACATCATCAGTAAATTTTAAAGTTCTAATAAAACACAAGTTACGCACGCATATTAATTAAATTCATTATAAACTCTAGTTAAAGTAATTAAATGATCACGTATGTCTTGATTAATATAACTCGTAGATAGCGTCATCTAGTAACATAATTTCAATATCGATTCATTATTTTAGATTAGTTAGTACATACAAAATTGCATGTAATTTATTTAGTGTAAAATAATATCATAGTTGAAATTATTTAACACTAAATATAAAATTTATTCCTACTCTAGAACAACTTACAAATAATGTAAACTCCTGAACTTATTTTTAAACATTCCTTCGAATGAAGAGAGACTAGAGAAGAGTTTATTTTAATTCTACGCTTCTTCTGTCATTGAATACAAACTGTGAAATTAATATATACCACTGAGCATTATGTTTAGTTTTTTTTAAACAAATTAAAGGGCCATCAAGAGCTTTTTCTTAAACTTTCACCTTGGTAAAAAGTACCTAGGTTAAAAAATTAAAATGAAAATCTTAAATATTTCAGACCGCAGTCGTTTATCAACTGCAACGTCGAATACGTATTTTAAGAGAACAACTTCAGAGGAAAGACTTACATTTAGACTTACTGCGTGGGTTAGCGTTCAAGTAGGTCTAGTAATCGGACTTTTCAGTTCTTAGCGTTCAAGTAGGTCTAGTAATCTTAGATGAAAAAATCACTTTTGTACGATATGATATATAATATTAAAACAAAGTAAAAAAAAGTTTAAAAAAGTCCTATGGAAAAGTTAATTTCAGTGCTTTAATTTTCGTAATAAATATTTAGATTTTTTATTGAATTCGATGTGTAGGTAATTATTTCGCAATACAAGTACAATACAAACCCCATTCATAAAAACTAAATCACTTTAATTGCACTCTTAGATATTTCGTCTCTTTCTATCAATTTTTATTTAAGCTGTGATAAAAAGAGAAGGTTGTGTAACAATAATAATGGGATAAATTATTAGGACGAGACTTCTCGAGTTCGAGCCGTGCTTCAAGCTGAAAGGGATGAAGCAATGAGCCGTAGCAAGAAGCTAGCTCGCCAGTGTGACAAGCTAAATGTCCAACTGAGTGATGCTCGTTCCCAACTACGCGATCTTAATGCACAACTGGCTGATGCTGCAGAATACAAGGTAATATATAATACATAATAACTATAATAATTAATATTATGAGCAGTGTAGGCCTAGTGGTTTCAGCGGAATGGTGATCGAACGGAATCGGCGTCCATTTAACATTCGCTCGAACGGTGAAGGAAAACATCGTGAGGAAACCGACATGTCTAAGACCCAAAAAGTCGACGGCGTGTGTCAGGCACTGGCTGATCACCTACTTGCCTATTAGATTGAAAAATTATCATGAAACAGAGTCAGAAATCTGAGGCCCAGACCTAAAGAGATTATAGCTCCACTGATTTATTTTATTTTTTTAATTATTAATATTATAAGAGATGTATACACCATTAGCAACGTGCCCCGAATCTATCCTATGGGACATGGAGCAAACCTATGTGTATTCATAATTTTTTCAAGGAAAGAACTTCAACCTACTAACTTGACACAATTTTGTTCTTGTCGGTCTTGTATATATATTTGCGCGAACTTTGTATGAAAAATTGGATGCTTCCTTGAGTACAGCCTTGCGATTATGTAATAATATAACACCGTCACGAGTGATTTGAGGGCGGAATCCGCTATGAGAATTTGAAGAGTGAGTTACAGAATCGCAAGGCAGCTGCCAATTACCATCATGGTCGATAAGTAACAAACTGGTGTAGTACTTGACAGATTGATTGAGTCATTACATGCGCACATGTCGTTTAAACCTTGCGCAAACATTCCTTCACCAGCCCAAAGATAATAGCCCAAAAATAAAAACAGCTTTGTCAAAGAAACCTTAGATCCTGGCAGTGATTTTTAAAAAGCTGACAAGTAAATAACTTACAATGTATTCTATAAAAACTGTAATTAAAGTAATCATCAGCATACATATTTATCGATAATGCGGAAGTATGATAACTAGTTGGTTAAACAGAGCAACGTATATATAAGGTAAAAGTACATTTGGTTTACGTAATTTATGGAAGATAAAAAAGACAAAAAAAACTATTAAAGGAAGTATTTATGCGATAATCAGTCACGATTCCGCGAATATGTAGCTGCAATAGATTGTACCTATGAATTATTTCTATCTATAAATACAGTGGCAAACCTTTATGGCATCTGATTTTTTTAAGGACGAGTAGATGATCAGCCTTCAGTACGTTGGTAACACTGAAAATGTTTAGAACTGGCCACTTGCACATTGCTAATGAAAACTTTTTTTGAATTTCAATTTTAGAACTCTTTGGTAACCTAATTTAGTATATTGCATTCATTTCTCATTTGTTTTTGTGAATTGGCGGCAAATCTAAAACTCTTGTTACACGTGAAAATGAAACTAACGCGAGAAAATTTTCGATCAATTATTTATTATGACTTTCGTTGTGGGCTTACTCAACAACAAAGCTATGATAGGCTGCGATTAGCATTTCTTAATGAAGCCCCATCTTGGCCACTATTTACAATTGGTTTAACGAGTTTAAGCGTAGACGTTAGGTGCTGTGCGACGCATGATAGAGAAAGATATGAGAGTGACCTATTAGCAGATACGGGCCTATATGCCTATATGCATAATTAATTCGGGTCTAACAAAGGAAGTGTTTATTGTGTGCAAAAAATAATTGGTGCATAGCCAGGGTTCCTATGACCTCAATCTCTAGACTATGTTAGTCTGCTTAAATACATAGATAATAATTTTTATGCTAAATTTCCTATGAATTTTACGAATACCTATGGGATTTATAGTCAAAATAAAAAAACGCTACAATCTTGCACTCAGATTTCGTTATAAGTGTAGATTGTAGTCAATATGCTAGTCGGAACTCCAACTAGTTCTTTTCTATAAAAAGTTCATTTTTGGACCGCATTTATGAAAAACTCTACTGTTATTGCTCGTATTCTGATCGATATTTTAAATATGGAACCCGGATGTTAACAATACATTGTTAACCCATCAAATAAATCAAAATATCGGCTAGTCTCACTTAACACTGATCGATTTGCGATATAGACACTTAGTTAATAACAGCATATAAACTACTCGAAGTGGATTTACTGGAATATTCTCTAGAAGGTTAAAGTAATTACTTTGTGTAAATCTTATTGTAGCGAACCGTTTACCTGCGCGATTATTTATCTGATTCTCTACCATAAATTTGCAAAAGCCTACTCGATAGCCTTTAAGTATAATATTATATTATTGAAAATTCTGAGGTGCTATTAATACGGTAACGTTAATTAAATCAGTTTTGGCTTTTATGTTTCAAAGGTTTCTTTAAGGTTTCCGCATTTTTATTACCATATGAGTGGTATTCTTATTCTCATTGTAGTGCCTTTCCACTACTGGAGGTTGGCGATCAGCACGTCATACTTCTTCTTATTCTTCGCCAAGCGCATCAGTTGTTCTACGCTGGCCATTCCCGTCCATTCTCTGATATTGCGGAGCCACGACTTTCTCCTTCTGCCAGTGCGTCTTTTCCCTTCGACCTTGCCCATCCTGATGATTATGAGTGGTATTGAATTGTGTAATAATACAATATTTACGAAAGATTTACCACTGGCAAACAGTTAATAAAACTAACATATTGCGATTAACGTACAAAATAAGTAAAGATGAATATGAGGTGTTCACTGCGTTTATTGCACCTAATAGATTACATCGCTTGAACGAGCCAGAAAGATCGAAGAGCTGCAAAAGAAGATAGATGAAGCTGAACTATTAAGAGCTCGGTATAATCGCAAGGTCAGCGTTCTGAAAGACCAAGTACGAGCTACTGGGGAGACCTTCGAACAAGAGCGAACCAGTACGGAGCACCAATTAAGTATTCTAAGAGATGACCTAGCTAGGACCAAAGAGGCACTCGTGGAATGTCAGAGGCGGGAGGCACAATTGCAAAGCTTTAGGTATGAGTAGAAATATAATAAAATTTGTAATTTATAATTATAAAAGCCCGTTTAATTTCCAATCATGATTAAAAAATATACAGCTTAGATTTTTACATTTTATACATTATTTTTATCTTGTTATCCTATATATCTTATATCCTAGCTACCTTCAGTACGAGTCGATCAGAAGCCCTGCACGGGTAAAGACCTCCTTCAGCTTTTTTCAACGTACTATGTCCAAGGCTTTCTTTCTCCATTCGCTTCCTGCTACCGCTTCTATTTCTTCTATCCACCTTTTTTTTAGGAGCGCCCTCTTCTTCTTCCTCTTGGTCCTTTCCATATAGTTGTAATTAAAGTCCACCTTTTATCTGTGTATCTTGCTATATTCCCCGCCCGTACGTAACTTATTACACTGATATATCCGATAAAGTACCTACTGAGTGTGCGCTTATGTGAATGAGTTGGGTCAATCATATTCATTAAGCTTGATATTCGGTAGTGGGCAGATCTATTTAAAAAAGGCGTTGTTAAGCATCGCATCCGCATTGTTAGGCGAATTATAATTTTTTTTAAAAGGAAATAACTAATAAAAACTAAAATTGTAGTTGGTAGTGTAATTATAGTATTTTTTGTAAACTTCTTGTTTACCGTAACTGTCGTGTATTTTAGAATAGGTACATTACTAGATATATAACTATACTATAGAAAATGCATTATATATGATGTGGTTTACTTTAATAAATATATTTATTAAACCTAAATTACTATATTACATGTGTAATATACCAGGACAAAATAGACAGGACATTATATTTAACTTTGCATTTAATTTCAGGCACTCCATAGCAAAGCTACTAGGTATACTCGTTCCATCTTCTGTGTCAGACTTTGAGATGGTATCTCGACTGCAGAAGTTAATAGATGCTCATCACGACTTCACAACAGTGTCTCGACGGTACGACGACCCTGCCTTATTGAGGGCTTCCTCAAGGTCACCTCCACCTTCTAGGTGTAGGACGAGGACACCTGATAGGTACTTATAGCTAACAATATATCTAGACGAATAAAGTACTTGTTCCCCCGATTGAACCGCGTTTTGTTATATTTTTACACTTCTATATCTAATGTTTGGCGTGCGTAATTCGTATAAACCGCGGAGGAATCCAGAAGTAGTTATAACGTGAATTTTAGCTGTAATTCATATTACCTTATTATTATTTTGATCCCTTGAAAAAGTGTGAACGTTTTTAAAACCGTTATTCAAATCTGTGCATTGATGAGTTTTTTATAGTACTAATGAATATCGATAATTAATTATATAATTTTTTTACACGTTCTGTAAGATTTGTCATACATTTTTACACATTAGAGTTTACTTTATTGAACTTTAGTCAAAGATAATGTTGTATAGGTCCCTCCGCTACGACGACTCTGGTTACGCGGATCCCGCGTTCGACCTCGAGGACGAACTATACAAGAGTCGAGCCCCTTTGTGACAGTCGCGACGTCGCGCCCGCTTCTAGTCATGAAGATGCTGAGGCGCACATCAAATACATAAATTTTACTCAAATAACACGAGACGCTATAATTCGTTACATATTCATTAAAATAATAATTATATATAATTGTTTAATGCTAGGTAACGTCTTGGATTTCATTTTGGACTAACATAGTTAAGGAGAGTATCAATAACATCAGTAATCGTTTATCAAGGTAGTTCTTTAAAAATATCGTGTTTTAATGTTTTTAACAATATCTATAGAAAGTTAATCAAAAGATCTCATGTTTTATTTTGTAATTATTTTTATTTAAATTTTAAAACATCTTCTAGAAAATATTTTTTTGTCACTTATCGAGAATGAATGGCGTATTTAGTTTATTTGGTGGAAGGTAAGATACAGGCTAAGGTAACTTACGATTGCCTAAAAATTCCCATTTGCACCTCTTTATATTTTGCCCTTTAAAGTATCCCTTAAAATAATAGAATACTTGAACCAATATCTTTGTTTGAAGGTTTGAAAGTAAATATGAAAAATATTTCAGCACTAAAATTAAAGTATATTATATAATAAATATTTATTAAAATAATTACCTGTTAGACACTGATAGTATTTTAAACAAGTACAAAGTTGGGTTTATCAAGGATGTAATTAAAACGCGGAAGGAAATGTCACCAAACATTGACATGACACCACAAAGTAATCTTAGCAAAGTATATATTTATTAAAACGAAATCGCAATATCCTATTGTGTAAATTTAAAAGGTAAAATGATGTCTCAATTTTAAATAAACTTGTTTATTTATCAAATTTATCTTGGACCCTAAAAATATCAAGAACATCAGAAATGTTTTGTAAACATATATTTACTACCTGCTAGACGCTTGAAAGGAAAGGCTTGTTGGCATTTTTGACTATCGTAATTTTATCTAATTAATATAAACCACACCTTCATTATTTATAAGAATAACTTAACTAGCATTGAATTGTGTTATGGTATAAATTTGTCTAGTAACCTGTCGCTATAAAATAGAAAAACAACTAGTTTGAATTTTGTAATACATAATAAATAGTGTTTATGATTTTTATAACGCACGTTTATAAAATACAAAGTATTAGAATTTATTGAGTTCTCGCTCCCGTTGTATTTTTAATAATTCTATTTTTTATTTTGATTAAAAATCAATTTTAAAATTGGTTTTAAATAATACAGTTACGCTGAATTTATTTATTTGTACTATAAATTGTTATTGTTCGTTTTATATTCAATTAAAATTAAAAAATGTTAACAATTAATCAAATGTTAATATGTAATGCAAATTTCTTTGAGTTAGGAACTGTTATGAGAATGTTGTTAGCAAGTTGTTGGTGGAATGGTTTATTAAGTCATTATTTAGTACACATCTAATTTAATGATAGATTAAATGACGTATCGATACTTTTATGTAGTAATTTTACACGTTTGGTAGTTTGGTTGTAAGTCTAAAGCCCCACTGAAATAAGGTACAGTAGTAAGTATTTTTATTGTTATATTCTATTTAAAATATATTAACTAAATCGTTTCTAATAGTATCAAAACCATTGTATTCAATATATGTAAAACACTTTCCAAGAGTTGTACTTTTATGTCACTATTTGACAATGAAGCATTATCCTGGCTATATTTACTTATACAATATTTTATGAAATAAATTTCCAGCCGTGCGAAGCTTGACCAGTAGTATATGAATATTCTTTCTACAAAAAATTCCACAAAGATGTTAGATAATGTAGAAAATTAATATGTAAATGTGTGTTCAATATTCTTAATTAATTAAAAATAGTTTATATATTAGGAAATAATCCATATCTACAATAAACTAACATTTATGCTACTGTTAAAATAACATATAATAATTTCGGAACAAATCGGCCATCAACAATTATTGTGGCAACATTTTGTGAGGTAGAAGCATTTTATTAAATAAATTTTGAGGGTTTTTGGAGGGTACTTTTGTTTTGGTAAAAATTACAAATTGTGAATTGTATTCGATTGCCTCAGTTCAATCTTAGCTATGTTCTTGTATACAACTATCCTGATTTTAATCCTTAATTCCGGTAAGTAAAATACTTTATTTTTTGTATAATCTAAAAAAGTCGACTATGTATAAAAATGTATTCGAGCAATACTGATTAAATAAAAGATTTCTTCGTTATCGCTGTCGCCATATTGTCTGATTTACCTAACCTTTAAGTGTAACATGTGTTTAACAAAGTGGAGTACAATTATGTTTACCTTAAAAGGCGCTAAGCATTTCAAATATGTATATATTTGCAGTAATGAGAATCGTATCATAAGATGCATAATTAATTTAACGTTCAGTTTGCTACTTATCAATGTTGAAAGATAATTAATTATTAAGTGCGAGAAAAATGTATAACAATAATCATAATTTCAAAGACTATTAAAGAAATTAAGTATTTTGAACACCATTCAATATTGAATATACAATCAACACCTTAGCTGCTTTGTAGTCCAGGACTTTTTTAAAACTAAAATATAAACAGTTTTGTGACTTATAAGTGAAACTATAGAATAACGTTAATCATATTTATAATACATTTTATGGTTTAGATATGTCGAAGTCACGTTACGTTGAATTGAATGAAAATGAAGAGCAATTATATAGAACTGCATATGATACACCCTCATACCAAGATGATTGCGATGATGAAGACTTACATATTGGGAATCTGGACTTGGTTAAAGACGGCCTGTGGGCTTTGAAAGCAAAAGTCAAAGAATTAAAGGCATTCAACAAAGCCTTAGTGGCGAATTTGCTTACCACGAAACTTAAACTGAAGGAACTGTTGGTGAATAAAGTACTTGAAAAGAAAGAAAAGATTGAAGCGTTTAAAAAGGACAAACATATAAAATATCAGGTAATTTTTATAATTAAGTGCCTCAAGATAGTATTTCTAATACCCCAATAATTTTATTACTAACGAAGAACAAAAAGGAAAAATATTTTGTAAGATTAAACTAACAGTGATTTTCTTTGAACATGTTTTCGTTAGTTAATTACGAATTCTACAATCGTATAAGTATCACATTGTTGATTAACTTATTTACAAGCGTATGATTAAAAATATGACTTACTGAAGGTCTAGGTTACATTTTAACCTTAATATGGATCAACGTTTAAGTGAAAGCCGAGGCGTATGCATTGAATGACCTTTAAAATTCCTTTAAATGCCAAAACAATACGAGACAAAGAAATTTATTAACTATATTTTTTTTTCTTTATTTCAGTTGCAAGATCCGCCATATTCACAGTACCCTGCAATTCCTCATGGTTACGACCCCTACATTGGAATGTAAAATTAAGTTAAAGTGTCAAGTATTTTGCGCAGGTCGCTTTTATAAAGAATAGTAAAGTTTTTTTAGCAAAAATTTTACGTAATTTTTGTAATTTTGTAAAATGTATTTAAATATTTTTAAAGTATTAAATTTGTAACTTTTAAATGAAATAAATATAATAAAATGGCTCATAAATTATATGCTTTTATTCAAAATATATATTTATCTAATCAATACATACTTTATGCAATATGACTGTATGAAATTTAAAAAAAAAATAATGATTTGCTACGCAGTTCGTAGCTCGCAGTAAACGACATCAACGCAGCAACCAAGCACGTGCTAGTTTAATCATGTCATCTCCTGTTTCCCGTCACGCATACAAGCTAAGACGTCATCAGTTCTTAAGAAAGTGCATTACATAAATTAAATTCTTAATTGTAAGGTCATAAGTAATCGTTACTGTTGAACAGAGTAGTTAAACGCGGCGCGCGCGCTGGGCACACGTGTACTAGAAGTGGTCGCTCTTACAGATTCGTTGATCGAATACAAAATAAGAGACCTCGCTTAGTTTTACACTGTGCTAAAAGTGCCTTCTCAAGTGAATAATGACATACAAGTGATACTTAAAGGATACATTTCGAAATGTTTTTTGTAATTATTCCCTTCCAAGTGGATATGTCGCTATCTATTCAGTAATACCATCTATTGACACAGTGGGGCATATCGTCCCGTCACGAGATGAGGATCAAACTTGTATGGATATTATTTTTGGTAGGTATTTATTATCTACGTCATATATGTAACATAATATTTGTATCATATGACTAATACAACATATGATTGTTTATCTATTGGCTTGAATATATTTTGCACGCCACTAATATAATATCTTTGGAATGGCGTAAGAAATTGTATAAATGCTATTTATTTCACAGCAAGGTAAATACGTAGACGTATAAACGCCAACAGCCCACATCACTCACTTTATACATTTAACCTTCAATAACGGAACAAATAGAAAATAGTTGAAAATAATATTTCATGGATAATTCAAGGGACGAAAACAGTACCTTTGTATCAATTCCAGGGAAACAATATTATGGTTTTGAAACTATAAAAGAGCGATAATCATTTTCATAGAACAGCTAAATACTGCCACGGACATGTATGTTTCCATGGAGCAATGGATGGTTTTGTCTTTATCTTGGATAAAAATGGTAAAAAATCGGCCCACCGCTGGAATGTTATGTTTTATATATATAGTTAGTGGCGAACATTTGTTGATCAATTAAATACATCAGCATGACCTGATAGTATTATTTTTAATGTTATTTATATACAACTTACTAACTCTAATAGCATATTATATTTGTTTGCACGTACATCCCTGTAATAAAAGTCCTATCTAACTTGAGCTTTAAATCGTGAGTCGTGACTATGTAAATATGTTAATCACACTAAATATATACGTAACTGAAGTATTTGTCCATATGATATCCGTTAACTTATAACCGAAACAAATTCCATAAACTAGTTAGCGATAAGGCCGCCCGTTGCCTTATTTATTGCTTTATAACATAAGTTATGCTTTTTTTATTTTATATATGTATGTTGTTGTATAAGGTAATAAAGGTAAATAAATAAATAAATAAATAACACTATGATTATTGCAGTTTAATGGAATAATATCTATAAAAATGTGAATATAAAAGTACCTCTAGGGACCTACGAAACAAAAAGAAAGTTAGCTAAATTTAAAGTTATGCCGTTTTCATGTTTTATGCAAATGCAATAAAATCCTCGGTTGAGTTTATTTCAAAATTACAGTATTGAGTAATCAACAAAATTATATTATTTAAAATTTTAGTTTCAGATATGAATAAGTAATTATAAGATAATTAAGGAATGTAGAATTCAGACATTTACAAAAAAATAAATGACGCGTATATCGTAAGTAAAAACATGATACAGTAATAAATGTCACTGTGATCTTTAATAAACTTGATCTGTACATACAAATTTCAATCCAGTTTAGGACGAAACGAGTCTAGGTATTACTTCCTTAAAATACCTATTTAACAAGTAGGTACCTGTTATTATAGCATGACCTCAAATTATGTTGAATGTCGATACGAAACAACTGGGTACCATGGGATTTATGTCTGTATGATTAGGAAAATATTTTAATATTTTGACTTACAAAGCGAGTTAATATATCAAAAATTTACGTAGTATATTATACCTAGTTACTGTTAGGTATGGCTTCAATTGAAATAACGAACGATCAGAAATCTGCATATTTAGAGATTTTTCTGATTAAAAGACAAACTATTCTACGAGTATGTACATACTTTATCTTATTTGATATCATATAGCTTCATTTAAATAAAATTCCTCACGATCTGGTAAATCTGAACTGGTTTTCTTGCCTTGTCATGCACTCAATAAGAACCTTCTAAAGGTAATAAAGACAATGGCAACGCATTTTTATATTCGATACGCACAATGATTTATAAAACCATAAATTTGAACTTTTTAATTACCTTTAATGAAATCTTAATATGAGACAACAGTTTAACAATATAAATATTGGATAGTCATTATTTTAGTTTGTACCTACACGATAAAAACTTGAAGTTTTTCTATGAATTTTAGTGCTACTTAGATTATATTAGTATAATACGAACAAAAACTGTAAACTAGAAAACTAATACATAGATCGATCACATACTTCTAATGAAACATAATTACGTGGTGTCGAAATGTACTAAAATCAGCAAATCTTCTAGCAAGGCTACATACAACACGAGTTTTTAAATAAACTATTCAAATTACCATTTTTTTCTTTAGAAAAGATACTCTAAGAAGCTAAAAAAGGTAGCAACATATAATCAGTTGCTACTTCCTTTAATTTCAATTATAAAGGCGTTTAAATAGATAAAAGGTTTCCGAAGGCCGACTTGTGTGCGTTTACAATCATATCTAAGTTAATTGTAATTATATTAATTGGAATAAATCATTTTTAAATAAAACTTGGTGCATTTTTAGTTAAATTGGCTGAAGCTAAAGTATTGTATAAGTATGTCTTATCGTAGAGGGAGATAAAAAGAATAAAAATGTTCTATTATGTTTTTCTTTGATTTTATTTTTGTGGCAGTTATATGTAAGTCACTAAAGCTCTAGGTTCTATATAGATTTGTAAGTATAAATAGTAAGTCGCTTAATAAGTAAGGCAAACAATTTTCATGGTGACGGCGCGCGTATTAAATAATAACTCTTGATATTGGCACTAATATATCGTCTATACATCTTATGCGTAAATAAATACTATTTTAAATTTGTGTTAATTATAATTAATAAATAATTTATAACACATAAAATTCTTTGGATGTAACTACTTAATTTTTTACAGGGCATATGTATGCGAATTTCCACCTGAGTCCTGACTGCTAACATATTATAAAAGTTTTGTTCGATTTCTTTTCCTCATAGCGCAAACACAATTTGAATAAAAGAAACGATTGATTTCAATCTTTCAATTAAATATATAGCCAATAAGAAGTTAAATCAGTGTACTATTTCTTATGGTTACTTAGATATTTAGTTTTAAATTGTGTTATTTAATAGAAACTTATTAAGGATAACGAAACTTGATGCCAGCTTGTCCCCATTTTTTATCACTGGCGTCTGTTCGGCGATTGATCAGTACAGGTTTCAAGTAATATAATATATTTCTCGTGTCCTTAGAGCTCCATAATTGATTATATTTAAAATGAATCATTTGAAATCATCAGAATTCTATAAGTCATATTTGTACTGTATTTCTAATAAACCAGTATAAATGGGGATTTAAGTCGTTGTTTCTTAAGTTTTTAAAATGTGCCTATTTTCGCCACCCTTAAAATCCTGTCTAATATATTTTGTGTAATTTGAAAATCTGAATCTTGAATTAAAAGAATCTTACAACCTGGCCGGTTAACTATTCTTATAAAAATAACTTATATAGGTTCATTTCTGTAGTCTAGATATCAACACCTGAATACAAGGCCATTGTGCGGTCACTGACAGCCACTCGTCGTTGCTAGGCCATTCAATTAATGATTTCCGCCCTCGTTTGAGTACTTGAACTACATAACCACAAAAACTTATGTATTCTTCACGACAATAATGTATATACCACTACAAACATAAACATATCTTATTTCATCCTTACTTTCTGTTTTAATAGTATTTACAATGTAAAATAAATTTATATATACATAAATCCCCAAACAAATTGTTATATTGTCGTAACTTCGACTTGACATTCTTAAAGATACTTAAGGGACAATAAAGCCTTAACATTAATGGTAATAATACAATATTTATTATAATGCTTTATTTCGTATTCAATGACAGTGATAAGTATTAATGGAATGAAATATAGAACACACACAAGCCCAGAAAAAAGGAATCCTGAATTATTGACGCTCGACTACCACATTTTTTATAGGTTGAAGTGGCATTTTAAACATTTTATTTTACATAGAATGCATCCGGGTGGCAAAATATACTTTTAATTGTTGAACATACGTTGTCATTTATTTTTTTATTATCACAAATTTCAAAGTAGTTTCATTATAACAGTTTTACAATTAAATTATTTATGTTGATTTTAAAAGTAAAGACTGTCTCGAGATGTGTGTGTTTTGTTTTTACAACAATAATGGTCATAATTTTCACACAAGATTTCTAAAGCGAGTAACTTAACCTAACGAAAACTGAATATAAAATCAGTTTTAATACATTTGAAGACAAATTATAATACGTATAGTATATTCTAAATATTCTTTTGTTGTTTGCAGATTTTGCCGTTTATATTGGTAACGACGCAACCAATACAGACTCAAATTCCACCGCAAACTTACAGAAATGACGACCAAAAAATAAATTCTGCTCAATTATTACCAAAGCATGAAAATAAATCAGATGAAGACGGCCAGATAATATCTGTTAGGATAACTTCTTCCGTGGCTGTTGGAAGAGGAACATTTGATGGAAAACCAGGTCTTGGAACTCACGACATTGAGCGGACTACCATTGAACCTATCACAACACCCACTGCTGATTTTACAGGATCTTTTGGAACAGATACCAATTATGAATCAATGACTACTACTTTTCAGACAACAGAAGCTTTGACAGATTATCCACCCCATCTTGCTGGTGCTAATATTGAGTTTATCAAACAACTTCAAGCTAAAAAAGAAACACGAGCTTTACTTATATCTGAACCAGCATATCGAATACCAACGAGCTATGAAATGTCAAATAACACAGAACAAGATCCATTAATACAGGAAACGATTACTGGTAAAGTAAATGAAAATGATAAAGTCATTGAAGATATTCCTCTAGCTAGATCAATTCCCCTATCTTATTCATCTAATAGTTTTATTCATAGACAAGGAGATAATAATCAAAAACTAACAACTGTCAGTTTTAACATAGTGCATGAGACACCAAAGCTATTAAATTACAATAAACAAAATTCAGCTAGTGGCGATACAAATCTCTCTGGAGAGAAGTTTTACAATGAACCTGCAAGAGTTTACAGCGAACCTGCTAAAATTTATAGTGAACCTGCGAAATATTACAGCGAACCTGCTAAAATTTATAGTGAACCTTCGAAATTTTACAGTGAACCAGCAAAAATATATAGTGTACCTGCTAAAATTTATAGCAAACCAGCAAAATTTTACAGCGAGCCAGCGTCATTACATTTATCTCAAAAATCAATTCCAACTAATCGTAACGAATGGCTTCCCCAAACTGGTACTACTAATTTCTCTAGTACTTATAGTACTACGCCCTCTAATCACCCTTACCTAAAAAACGTAGACAAAATAATTGAACATCAACCTGAGAAGAACTACGAAATTGAGGAAAAAGTAAGCGTTCAGACTGATGGTCGCAGTCACGGTGAACAAGCTAACAATCCTGAAAACTGCAAACAAGAAAACTGTAAAGTAGGATATGTTGTGGAAGGAAGACAATTTAGAAAATACCGCGTAGAAGAAAGGACATCAGACGGCTTCATAGTCGGAGAATATGGAGTAGTGAGAAACGAAGACGGGGCGTTGAGAGGAGTCCGGTACACGGCAGACAGTGAAGCTAGTCCTCGTCTCATTCACGATGCACTTATGAAGTTCCTACAGCTCAAGTAGAATAAATTTATTTACATTAAACTTTTGCTCAGTTTCCATGTTGCCATTTTGAAACGATAAACCGTTTTGACTGCTTATTTTTAAGTTCACTAAGTTGTTTAAATAAAAGTGTATTGAGACTGATTTATGTTTTAACTCCATAAGTCTACTAGTATTAAGCTCCACAATTATTAGTTGCAACTGATTTTTGTCTGCCCAAAAAACTCTCGCGACCTATGCCGTGGCTTCCGTATTTTCATAGAAATCAGTCTGCTTTCACCGGTTTTCACAGAGGCACGCAACCCATACCACTTATTAAATAAAGTCAACGGAGTAAATAAAAGTTATTGCATTTGGAGAACAAAATTCCTTTAATTCGTTATTTAACACACCTTAAGCCTTAAAGTCGAACATCTCGAATCCCTTATAAATATTATTAACCATTATATTAAAATTTTATTGTGTAGTATATAAACCTAACATTTTCATCGGAATATACCATTTATGAAAATATTGTAATTTGTTAACATTACATTGAATTTCGGATCAAGGTAATAATATGTAGATAAATTGCTAAATAGATATGTTATTTCTCAACAAATGGAATATTAGGAAGAGATTGAACAGTTTTTTTTTGTAGAATCCAAATATTTGAACAATAATAACATAAAGTGAGATTATTATTAAATATCCTTTTAACACTTATTAAAGTACTAGGCATATTCTTATAAGATATTGGTGCCATTTAATACAAGTGATTAATCTTCGATTATCTAGCCGCTACACGAAACGCCCATTGAAAAATTTATATTTCATCTCTGTCACTCCTTTGTAACGTGTTGTTACATCTTTAACACTACAATTAATCGATGGCAAGCGATCTATATTTGTTTTCCGATAACTATCGTTTTACTTACTATATAATATTACTATAAACGTGTCGAGATTCTATAAAAGATATCAACACCGTAAGCATCGACAACAGTTTGTGCATGAACAATTAACAATAAAATACAATATTCCGTGGAAGCACATTTAAAGTTAAAAAATTTTAAAACACACCGACCTCAGTCGATACTAAACTATGATAAGTTATTGTACCTTCGTTCTACAGTAATAAACAGATTATAAAATTAAATAGAGTGCTGAGTCAAAAATCTTAGGAGTAGCTTTTCAACAGAAATCTTAACACTTAGGAACTTACTTAGGCAAACTACTAATCATACATTTTGAAAAACCTCTCAGACATACAAATTGCATTAGATATCAAACACAAAAATCATGAAAAAATGTCAATTATTTAAGTATTTGTTGAACCGCATTTTAATAAGATATTAATTTTACGTAGACTTATACTTTCAATCACAATACAAGGTCAACGCTGGATGCATTTTTAAATAATTAGTTCTATACTCAACATTATTAAACGAAACAATATTTTATTTAAACTTGTCTATACGCTACCGCAAACTCTTCTATCCATTTTAAGTACTTTAAAAACACTAACAAAGTTTTTTTCTAAACATTTTTTTAAATTCTGCAAAATAGTAATCATTTTTCGTATAAGAAATGGATTATTTATAAAGTTAGTAGAAGGTGTAAAAAATAAGTGAAATATTTATAAAGTTCCAGCTTTAAAATACATAGAAAATAATGAAAACTAGGATAAGTATACATTTTAGAAATACAGATATGTATTGGCACTTTACTAAATAATTGTCCTCAAAATGTAAAACACATTGGGTTACAACCGTGTATGGTATAAAAAGGATGCAAACAAATTATTCATTGCATCACAATCTATTATTTTTATCTTCTGATATTGAACTGTAAAATAAATATGGTAACCATTAAAAATACCATAACACACCTATACCAATAATTATACTTAATACTAACAGTGATATAATTATTGACATGGCAACATACGCGTTAACGAGAAATATTTAAATATTTGTTGCAGTAATAATTGTGTGAATTCAATATTGATGGTTTTGTACGATTTACTTTTTAATGAAATTGACTAATTTTACACATGATTACGTTTAGCTATTTGAGTTTTTTTAAGGACCAATGCAAACAATTATTCAGTAATTTGATAAAATGTATCATTCGAACTTAGCAATACTTTCATCGAAAATCTCTCTGAAAATCCACATTCGTCACGCCATTATGATATTTTAGTCGTAGGTTTCAGACTCTTGCTGGACCAGCTTGAATCTACGTGGACTCTTTACAGCGATAGAACCATGTCCGTCTAAGGACAGACGACCTTTCATCTGTAGGTATCTGTAAAACAAAAATATGTCAGAAACCAATTATTTCACGTCTACAATTTTATGAATATACTCACCTTTTAATGTGGCGAGAAACAAGTTTTGTCGGACGTTGCTGCCACTCATCCAAGACTTCCTTTGGAGCTAGAACCTAAAAATAAATAAAGTAATTTAGTTTTTGCACTCTTTGGTAAGCGACAAGCCTGTTCTTGGCAACATATACGTGTCAAAAAGTGAAGGTATGTCTAGCTACAATGCTAGATTTACAAAGCAACATAATGTGTTTTTGTTGTGTTTGTGTTTAGCCTTTAAGGAAATTAAAAATTACATTTGTCTTCTAAATGAAACATTTCGAGATTTTGTCTTTATAAAACTTTTTGAACAGATTATTTCCTAATATTTTAACGCTATTTTTACGAACAAACGTAAATTCGCTTTATAACTATTCTGTTATAACTGAGTAACGGATAATATGCAATATACCTGATCTCCTTTCAATCTGTCCAATAGCGTGACGCAGATGACAGCTGCCTTAATACCAGCATGATGAGTTAGTGCTGCGAAAGCCAACGACTCCATTTCTATATTCACCACACCCGATTTATGAATACTCTCCAAATATTCCATTTTATCATTTTCTGTGAAGTCGCAGAAGGCACCGTCTAGACGACCTTGACCTGAGTAGATATATATAATGAGTACCTATGTAATTTATTATTGACAAAGGAGGCTAGTAAAATTAAAAACGTGCTTAAGACAAAAAATACTAGTAAACCACTAGAAGCCATTTGACTTAAATTCTTAGTTGCATAGATCATTCTAATTTATTGATTATTATCAATTCCGAAGAAATACGATACAAATAATATTCAGATAAAATATAAACTCTTTGAAAATGACCCAATTATTCCGTTGACGCAGACAAAAACCATTTGAGAAAAGGCAGGTCAAGGAAATTTTTCAATTGAAAAGCGTGCGTGCATTTAAAGTTAACAGGTTAAAAGGTTCATCGTACGTTATAGTACTTATTGTTATAGAACAAACGGGCAGGCCTTAGCTGATATTAAGTGATAGGTACCGCCACCCAAGCCGATCACAATGTCAAAAGGCTCGAGAGTGCGTTGTTGCCACATTTTCCTTTTAAATAATATATATGCACATCATTAAAACTATCCAACGAACTAAGTATTACTTCGATATTATACATTTACGTATGTATTGTTTTTTACCAGATCTATCCTCTGTGTCTAGAACATATGCTCTCGTTATTTAACCATATTAAGCTCATCTAATGCATATATGTTATTAACGAAGGAAAATGCTGATAAAATTTAGACGTTTTAATTAATTACCTTCATAAAAATCGTAAGTGCACATAGTTTTGCCTGTCACTGTGTCATAAGGATCCTCTGGATCTCCCATGGCCTTGAGTTCTCGTGCAAGCCTTCTATCCAATTTTGCTGGTCTTTGAAGCGTCTTTCCAAGAACCGTCTGTAATTATGTAAAAATGAATATTTTATTCACTCACTTCTGCTAGTGAAGTATATTTAAGACTTATGAAAAAAACTACATGATTCACGTCATTATTAAAACTGTTTCATGACATTTACATAGAAGAATTAATTGAGTTCTTGAAACAACTGATGCTTTATTATCGACTTATATTAATAACTAATATGTAAGTGAATAATAAATGTTATAGTTTATCTGAAATATAAATTTTAGTGTTCATACCACGGTAACGAAGTCTCGGTTACTTTGTGAATAATGTCAATAAAGACAAAAGTAAAAGTGCTGTTACTTAAGATATTAAGTATTTAATTCATCTAACAATAAAACAAGTTCAGTTATAAAGACCTTTAAAGAATTGCGTAGGATATATACAATCACTTTGCGAAATGTCGGAATGTTATCGATGGCCCTGGCACTGAACTGTACAGTATGTAATGACGAATGTAGACCCGTTCAAGTAAAAATGTCTTTATTTAGTGTAATACGATATAATGCTTTTATCACAATCTATACGGGAATTGATTTTCTTATCTCGATCACATAAAAGCTTGTATACAACTGATTACGTGTAATGGGTTTTGATTATCATATTATGTACCTATATAGAACATATATAAATCACCGTTTATATATTTAATCGTAAAACAATATTATTACTACAATTATTATTTATTTCATACTAGAAGATAATACTTTTGTTCAAAATAATTTGTGCTATTTTAAAAGTTATATTTGTATTAAATATTATTATTATTATATTTTTAATTTCTTATTAATTAATTAGGACAATTAAACTATAATTTTAACCTGGATTTTACTACAAGAACAATTTGGTTTAATGGTAATTACTCTTTAAAAATAATGTTTAAAAGTTTTTTTTTATTTTTCATCATTTTAAAACAATAACAATATTTATAAGAATTAGCTATTGAATATAATGTTCTTTTATCTCACTTTGCAAATAAATAAATGTGATATTTGACCAAACGTCCTTTAACTAATAAAGGGCTTTTAATATATATATGAATAAGACAGTTTTCTAATACGATAGGCTAAATAGTTCTATTTTATAACCATTAATATCTTACCAATTCAAGGACATTACGAAGTGCTCCATCAACGACTTCCTCTGAAATGATCACTGTACCACCCTCGTGACCGATACCGCCACAAGTCCCTATCCTGAAGAACACGGGGTCCCGAACTTTAGCGTGGTACATAAGCTTTATGACTTCGTGGAGTAGAATGCCCACTGATGGAATTCCCATACCATGCTGCAGGCAAGAACTTTTATTTTAAAGTATTTTAAAAGATTCAACAGAATAAGTTGGTACAATAAGTTAATTTCAAAATTAAATAATTTATCAGAAATCGAATCAAACATTTTTATGTTTGATTCTATTTGATTATGTTAGAAATCTCTGATTAAGGATTGTGACACCGTTTGTCTAAACTGGTTTTACGATTTTATTTATTTTAAGCCTTAATTTAATTCCTGATACACTTATTATCTAATTATCCTATGTGTTAGTTAATATTTTTTTCAGTTAACATGTATCAGGAACCGTCTCTGGTAAAGACCTCCTCCATTGCTTGCCATGTTTCTTTGTCCCGAGCTATTGTGTGCCACCCGCGACTTTGATGTCATCAGCCCATCAAACGTAGGGCCTGCTCCTTAACGTAGCGTTTGCCTGGTGTGCCTCTCCATGTAGTTACTGTTTTTGTCCACCTGTGATCTGAGGCACGCTGCATGACCCGTCCATTCCACTAGAGCATCAATTGCTTTCGTCTCTGATCTTATTGTTATTTTTATGTGTCTTATCTTGTGTAGCTTTTTAATGTTTAGCTCCTTGCCATGCGTCTTTGACATGTATTAATATTATTTTTTGTTTTATTTGTAAATATCCATGTTTTTATTGCTTGTTTTGAGTGGTATAATGATGATGTCCTTGTAGGGTTTTGGTCATAATCTTTCGCGATGACCAGCTGTCATGAAAGATGTGTTTCTTGTATTTAGGTAGGTTCTTTTCCTATTTTTGAGAATTTTTTGAGAGGGGGTAGGTGTTCGTTGCTGTGCCTTCCTGGTGTTGTCTTGGATGTTTGTGTTGTTATTGTTTTTCTTTATTAAGAAGTTTAAGGTGTTGGTTTTACGATTAGTAAGCAGTATTTTTTAATACAAAGAAAATTTAAACAATCATTCACCAATGTTATATGTGCTGTTGTATGTGTTTGTAATGTTTAAGTAAGTACATCGTTTATGTAACGATTTCTTTGACGTGGACAATGCTATTGAATGAATGCATCCCACAATACACAATATAAATTGTTGACTCGTCTCAATTACATAAAACATAAGACAATCAAGTCAAGACAATGAAGATGCTCATGTATCCCAATTGAAAATATCAGTGCGATCAAATATTAAATCAGTCATACTTAGATTATTAATAAAGAACATTTAGAAATATGTATGTACCTAAATGTAATTTTTTCAACTATCACAAAACTAATTATGTATTTTGATACATATTAATACAAAAATCTATATTATCTTCAATATCAACAATATAATATTATTATATTAACAAATATAAATTTTATACTAAAATATTATATTGTCAGCAGAGTGACCTGCGGCTCTCATTCCTGAGTAACCTCTACTGGGAAATCATTCGTCTGAGATACCAAAATAGTCCAGATTTGTCAAGGACAAAATGCTAACCGGATACACGTGAGCTGACCTACTTGCAAGATATAAAATAAAAATGATCAAAGAAACATATACAATTAAAGGGTAAGATCGATAGAATTGTTAAAGGTGTACTTCTTATTTATGTTTGTTAGTACTTCCTTTTGTAAGGCTTAAGTTGGGGTTATTTTCGGTAGTCTTTATGTGGAGTGCGAAATTGAACAATGGTAGCTTAAAATTGGATTTACGGGTGACTTTGAAATATAAATTAATTTGATTCTTACACTTATAGACAGCACAGGTCCAACTTTATACATAGAGTAGCGGTAGGAAAAATGACTGATGTCCTGCAGAGTAGTCCCACATGGCAATTTGTGGCCAATTTCTGCCATTATGTTGTAGGCAAACTGCTCCATTCGTTTGGGAGTTCCGCCCATGCAGACAAACTAAAACAAAAATAATTTGATCAATGGATTTTAATTAAATTACTCGATTTTTTTTATATAGTTACTGAGAGATATATGAAAATATTAAGTATTAATATAGTAGTAGTAATAGTATAGTACACAAATTGACCGTGGTTTATCCATAGCATATAAAAAAGGAAAAGGAATCCGTTTGCCAGATGTCTACCATACATCATCCAAAAAAGAACAACGAAAACTAATTCATTATTTTTTCAAATCATATCTATATAAGTCAAATAGTGTAAAACATATAAATTTCTAAGTCTGGTGTTTCTTGCTTCTTGTTACTCAAACTTCATTCTCAGATAGTAAAGTACCTAGTAAATGTTTACCATCATGAATAATAATACCTTAACATCCCCAAACATCTCGACCAAGTCATGGGAGCCACTTCCCAGCGCCAGGTGGTACAATATGTCTTGATCCATGAGTTCAATATTCGGATTCCGGAGACGCACCGAGCCATCCGGATACCTATATAAATAATATATTATAAAACAAGATGAATCCATTCTATATCAAAACAGTGGCGAATAATTATTATTTTCACGATAGCGTAGGTTTTATTAGCTCAATAATAATATATAAACAATAATATTATTTTAGATAACAGTTTTATATTAATACAAATAATACAAAACAATTTATGTATTTTATAATAATTTAGCTGTAATTTTATTTATAACCTAACACCATCCAAATTGTCGACCTCCGGGTAATTTTGGGAAAATTCCTCTTCGTAAGTCATTCGATGTGGCTGATGATTTGAACTGTTCTGGTAGATTCCATTTTTCTCACCATTGTGCTTCAGGCCATTTTCCACGGCCACTCCATTAAAAGACATATTTAAATAGTGAAGCTGTAAACATGCAATAAATAGATAGATTATTTTCATTTATTATAACTTAAATTAAATAAAGTTATTTTAAAACAGGAAAATAAATATCTACTTGTGCTCTCTAAGATACAATAAGTATATTATTTCGATACCTCTATTAATAAAAATATACTTAGGTATTGTACTTTTTAGGCAATCATTATATGTATAAATATTTATTAAATCGTTTAATAAATATAGGTATCTAAATAACCGAGAAGCATAAAGTAGGTATTTGTGCCTGTATTACTTAACTATGTTAACTTTTTTGTTTTCAGTCGGGTTCGGAAATGATGTAACAGCTCACTTAAATTAAAATTTTTAGATAAAAATATATAGAACGTCTTCAAAATTCGTTTAAAAGTTTTAGTTTTAATTAATTAATAATTCTATTTAAGTTGTATATTTTCAAATATTATCTCAAAGAACGTTATACAAAATGTGTTGAAGCAGACTTCAAAATAAATGCGACATGAAAATAAAAATAATTTCTAAATACTTACCCACTTATTTTTCTTTGATCGTAATCAGCGCAATCGACGTGTTGTTAGGGAGAGCACAATATGTAATGTGGTTAAACAGCTAGTCACTTGTGATTACGTTATTGTGGTACTGTGGTAACCATTCACACTTACAATGTGCTGTTCAATAACACAAAAACAATTTATGAAGCTTTGAAAATTACGAGAAATGCGAACATGTTTTAAATGCAACCTTTGTTTAATTCGAATTTATTAACGAATTTGGTCAATATGAATGTAAAATGTTATAACCCAAACAATTAATTAGTTCTTTATATTTCCCGTAATAAAGAAAGGATAAATTATATTCTCTATAATGTAAATTTTTGTCGTACGACGTTATATTGTTAATATTGAAAACGTAATGATTAGAATGTCCCTATGGCATGTTTTATTCAAGAGCTTTTTGGGTATAATTGTACATAAAAGATGACACAGTAACATACACATGCTAACTAACCAAGCTGTGCTTCAGGTCATCCGTTGATTAATTACCAATTCCAATCAATACTGGTTAACAAGATTAGAAGTATAACACAGTTACGTAGGTGCCTGAATGTACGAGTACCTTTGGTACAAGAAATAAATTAATCTAACGTTTTTAAAACATATATGACACTAAGAGGTCGTCATTTACGTGATAGTCGATAATGACGTGTTTAAATTCGAACTGCGTTTTTAGATAAGTGCCTAAATAATGTAAAATACGATATTCTTTAAACACGTTAGATTTTTATAAAACGTTACTTGCGTCTAAATATTTATTGTATCAGAAAGTTTATATTTTTTTTACTTATAAATAAACATATATACAACTCAATAATGCCATTATTGTATAAAAATTAAAGCTTATATGTGTTTCATAGATATACGATTCCTACTTGAATTAAACTAGGTTAGAAGCTAAATGGGGTCAAGTCAAGTTCACCCTAGATTTTAATATTATGACTAGTCTAGATATCTTATGGTTTACTAAATTGAAAATGTAGTTGCGGGATTACAGCATAACAAAAGTGACTAAATATATATATACATAGTATATTGTATGATTGCACCATTTATAGTCGTAGTATAATGTGTTGTAAAAGTATGAATAGTTCAAGCTTAATACTTTTCGATTATTCATACAACTATTCGTGCTTCAAGTTTTGAAGGTCGTAACCATTTTCTTTTTCAGGATTTAATATTGGTTCCGATAGCTTATTCTATTAATTAACGTGATTCTGATACAACTGAATTACTCACTCGTCACGAAGCTCATCAGTATCGAAGGACATCGTTGTATGCAATCACTACACTAGATTGTAAGATAATTATCTAACTGATGGTGGATCGATGAGTACAGAGAGCAAACTGGTGCGCGGTTTGCGGGGAGTCGCCCTGTCGCCTGGGTGCGGACAATGCGTGAGACTTGCGCAGAACGCGATAAGCTTTCCACGTTCATATATAACAGAAAACTGAACGCTAAAGCAGTACAATTTATATTAAGAAATTTTTCATAGGAAGTCAAAATGGCTAGCGTTGTTATTTATTAAAACAGATTGTACGGCAATGGCATATAAAATGTTCTTGTAAGATATCTGTTTCTTGGCACGTTCATCTTAGACTAAGACGCGTTCTTGTCCCTGTTCTGTATAACTGTAAACGATCATATCAATGAAATTACTTATATATTATAATTTATCGTTGCTCAAGTACAAAGCAATCGAGTAACTTAAAATGATTCATAATTAGAAAGGCAACACGCAGCCGTGTCGCCAACAAGTGATCTGTTCCAGGCGAGGCTATTAGGTAAAAATAATAATCATTCGTATGTGAGGTTTTTTATACAGGTACTATTTATTGTTTAAATTAATTATATATTAGGTGAAATTTAAAATAATACAAAAATGTCAATGCGCAACATTTTATTAAGTTTAATCCACATATACACAGGAGATTGAAGTAGTTGAAAAGCTACACTACCATTGTTCCTCAAAAAATACAATTATCTAGCTAACAAAATGACTAATCTTATAACCTAAAGAACTCAATTGAGATTTTAAAGCTACAGCAAAAATTTATCTAAATTAAAACTATAGAAAATTGAACTTATTAATCGGTAATTTCATTTACCCAATTTTCAAATTACGTAGAACAAAAACTCAAAAACTAAAATTCGATATTTCATAATGAATAACCTATATGAGAATATTTGATTTGCAGATTAATTAAAAAAAATCACTGGCACGACTAGTATTATTATTTATAAATCTTAGGCTGGAACCTAACTTCATACTATATAAAGAGTGGTTTAGTCGGTTAGATATAGACAGTAAACTCGTATACCTGGGGTTATAGGTAATCAATATACCTAAATTAGCATAGCAGCCAATTTTTATCAAAAACAATACGCAAACCATCATTTAATAAAAACCTTTCTGGAACCTCTGACACCCGATTAGTATGAGATGCACTATTATCAGCCTGGTTGAAGAGATAAAAATATCGGGATTAACCATACATGAGGGACACACGTATGCATTTTCAAAATATAACAAAAAAGGCGGCAGAAATATACAAAAGTGGCAAGGATAAATGAAAGATACAGAGCCGTAATAATACCAGTCTCAGCAGCTTGGGCTCCGGCGGCAAAAAAAGGAAAAAGCTCTAAAGTATCCAATAGCCGTTGGCGCAGAATAGCAAAAACTTACCGGACAGCTTCGCTAGATTCCGCGAAGCTATTCGTAGGGATACTGCCCCTCGACCTATGAGCTAGGGACACCGCATTGAGCGGGCTGTGCCAGCTATCAAACTACCACACCCCGCAAAACAACCAGTAATTGTGTACAATATCACCGAGGAGTAAAAACGATCAAACTCGGTGAACATTTATACAAACTGCAGTAAGACCGCCAAAGGAGATAGAGCCGCATGGTCCGAATGGAGCGAAGGGAAAAAATCATAAACAAAATAAAAAATTAACAAGAAACCCGGTAGAATCCTCCAAGAAAAGAACGGCATACGGACTTTCCCTTGTTCTACATTAAAAAGAACCAACATAAACAAAAATTGTACAAGTCTAAATTAAGAATAACGAGTTTTCATTTAATGATAGATGAATGAAAAGAAGAATGGTAGCTAGTCAACCTCCTCGGTGATAAAGTAGACGGGGGAAGAGTGAAAAGAACCTCTATCACTGAGCATAGCAAAACTCAACTAAATTACCACGTACATCTATTATAAAGTACCGCAAAATAAACATGAGAGTTTCGAACTAGTTATATCATGAAAATTCTGCTTAAAAACTAATGTAAAGGTCTAGGAACCATAATTATTTTTTAAAAAAACGCGAACTTTCCCTTCATCTACTTCGCCTACGAAAACTTCATCGGGCTTATAGTATTTCATACAAATAACCACAATCTAAAATGTCTTCTGCGAGCCTTTTTTATACAACATTAAAAATCGTAAGTAGTATTGTTCCATCCATTTTAAAATATATTTGAATAAGGTGCATACACAAATGCTACTAAATGAGACATCAATTGATATACATTAAAACATAATTGGCAAGAAAAATTAATTCATACAATTAAAATATTGCAGGAATAACGTATACATATTCAAGAAAATGCATTTTAGTCTAAAAGCCATAATCCGACATGTAATTTTTTTCTATAACATAAATATACAATACAGATTAACACTTCTTAGAAAAATTCAGACTGTTGATAGCCTCTAATATGTAATGTGTTAAATGGCTTAAACTTGTTTCTCGAACACAAACCTAAATATGTTTAGGAAGAGCTAAGAAACATAGTCTTGAAACACTTAAATTTAAATTAACTAGACATATTTAGTCATAATTCATAAAATTATGCTTAAATTCTTGAGCATTACCTAGGTAACACTGAAAATGTTTAGAAAATGAAAAACGGCTTAATGTAGAAATTTGCCAATACTTTTATTGTTTTTCGAAGTAATCTTCGTTCCTCTCTACACATCGTCGCATTCGATGGAACCACTGAGAAAAGCAGTGGGCCCATTCTTCCTTAGGGGTCTCTTCTTCATCTTCATTCATTTTCGTACGCTTTCACCGCATCTTCAGGGCTCGTAAAGCGAATACCTCGAATTTTATCTTTAGTTCTTGGGAATGAAAGTGGCAGGGCGCCAGGTCAGGACTGTAAGGCGGATGACTCTTATCTCGACACCTGCCATAGTCAAATATTCAACAGACCGTTTTGCAGAGTGCGCTGAAACATTGTCGTGGTGAAGGAGAATCCTGCTTTGAGGGCGCTGCTGTCGATTTTTTTCCAAGACAACAGCAATTGACATACCAGTCTGCAGTAACTGCCATTCGATCTTCTAACACAACTGTCGCGAAAAGACCTTTCCGACCAAAGAATGAGGCAATCATCTTTTTTCTTGACTCCTTTCTTTACCTTAGTTGGCCGATCCTCGAAATTTAACCCACTGAGCTGATTGATTTTTGGTTTCGGGTTCGTAGCAATATATCCAGATTTCACCTGACGATTTCAAATACAGTATTTGAGTCACCGCCGTTAAACTTATTTAACATTTGGCGACACCAGTCCATGCGAACATGTTTCAGGTCGTCGGTTAAAGTATGGGGAATCGATCTGGTACAAAGCTTCCTGTCGCCTAAATGATCGTGTAATATTTTTTGAACTTGACTCATACCAATGCCTAGGCTTGCCCTTATCTGCCGATAGGTCACTCTCATATCTTCCTCTATCATGCGTCGCACATCAGTAGTCGCTGTTAAAGGACGTCCCTCAAGCGGATCGTCATTGAGATTGCTACGTCCACGCTTAAACTCATTAAACCAATTGTTAATTAGTTACACGAGATAGAGCTTCATTAAGAACTGCTAATCGCGGCCTATCATAGCTTTGTTGTTGAGTAAGCCCACAACGAAAGTCATAATAAATCATTGACCGAAAATTTTCTCGCCTTAGGTACATTTTCACATGTAACAAGAGTTTTAGATTTGCCGCCAATTCACAAAAACAAATGACAAATGAATGCAATATACTACATTAGGTTACCAAAGAGTTCTAAAATTAAAATTCTAAAAGTTTTCATTAGCAATGTTTCTAACTGGCCAGTTCTAAACATTTTCAGTGTTACGCACGTACTAAGCTGACTTACGTTAATTAAATAATTTGATGCCTCATGAGTCGAAAAAAACATTTTATCACTGAGTGTTGATTAACGGATTATAAACTAATAACCCCATTCATAAAAACTCTTTCATAATAAGTCTTGCACTCTTTCGTCTCTTTCCCCTTAAATTGTGTTTACATTGTGATGCAACGAGACAAACGACTACTTGAGTGCATTTAGACTTATTAATTTTAAAGTGGGCCCGCCCTTAAGTCTATTTGAGGATTGAACATCAGACCTAGCTCTTTTTGAGGCTTATAGTACGTTTATAATTTTTTTTTTAACATTACACGTAGGTAAAATTTCAAACACGTACGTTAAAAATACATATTTACGTTAAAATTTGTTAAAGAATTAATTTTATTATAGTTGAGTTTTTCTAGTTTTTTTTTTAATTCCGATTTCTATGAAGTTACACTGGTAATGCTTATAAAGTAATTGTTAAAATTTAATGAAAGTGAAATATATAGCAGCAATAGTAATATTTACAGAATTATAGTAACATTTGTCAAGTTATATGTTATTGTTTTTTTAAGTAAATACTAAGACTAAATCGGTCTTAAGTCCCATTGAAGGGTGAAATTTATAGGTACTTATAAAATGATGAAAGAATATACCTTCTTAGGACGATTAATTCAAATCCTGATACTACACTGTACTCATCTTAGTTTAGCGTAACCAATGTTTGTAGGTACGATACAGAGTCGAGACTTGCCAAAACCTTATTGGATTTGGACTGTTCACTACCTGATGCCAGGCTATCATACCAGGTCGATAAAATTATCGTATCCACCAGAATAAAGACTAGTTTTATATACAAATTCAAAAAAAAATCGTAGGTACATCGTTATGTAATTATAACACAATTACGATTATTATCACACGGTTACGCTAAGTCTTGACTCTGAATCTTACCCTACGAGCGCTCTATAAATTTCAGCCTAAGAGAAATGACAACGGTGGTCCTAATTTAGTTTTTATGAATAAGTAGGTAAATAATTTCGTAAGCAGAGTATTGTGATAAGTTACTATACTAACACTGATATGCTAAAAATCAATATAAGTAGTTTTGTCTAGGGAATACAGCATGTGGCTCTTTGTAGTTTGGGTCCGGTTGGTTGCGATAACGTCGGGCGATCCATACAGCGAACAGCTAAAAAATAGAAATACATATAAGAATTGTTTCTATTTCTACTTTTTATAAACTGCTCTAGCGGCTATGAAGTTAGCGGAATCGTGTTTCTACCCAAAAGCGCTTTTTTATAAAGACGTATTTACGTAATTTTACATTCTTTAGACGCAGTTAGATGCCCGTACAGTCGAAAGTTTGCCTTTTTGTCTAAAAAGTTCAATTAATTTTGTTCTCATGTTCAAAACATACCCGGTAGAAAAAATGTAGATTGTTGATTCGTGTCATATTTTTAATACCACATTAAGAAATCCTTATCTCAATATTATTAACTCGGATACGCGAAAATGACGAAATCGTCAATATTGACGAGTTTATCAGTTATTTACTTAAAATTTAAATAATTGCGCACATTTTTGTATAAGATCTATCGCGCATTCGACATTACTTGAACATGCTGTGTCTAATAAATTCGTACGCAAATAGCGTCATAGGATAAGCAGTAAACTTAATGTAATACATACCTACTTGTGCCCTTTTGCCTTAGCATACAAAAGTAATAATTTGATTGTTAGACTTTTAGAAAATCGTTAAGATACGTACGTATAACTCATTTTAGGTACTAAATAATAAAGTAACGGGAGGATTATAATCGAATTTCACACCGTTTATTTTAATATAATTTCAACTAATTTTGTTCCTGTTAGGACTACCTATATATCACCTCCAATATAAAAATACGACTTTTGTAAATATTCAAATATATATATATTAGATATATGAAATTGGCGTTTTGTCGTACTAGCCACTTTGGCCTCAAATATCTCCTCTTTGGTTAGAAATTCCAAATTTAATTTATACAGCTATTTACTCGTGCATTTGTCTTTCGAAAACCATGATACATTTCACGTTCCCGTTTTAATTTTTTTTCTTTGCATCACTCTATTTATAAAATGGAAAACATGAAATATCGCGTTATTTACGAGTAAGAGTTCCACCGTGGCACCAGTGCTGCAGAAACGGCTCGAAGGATTTATGATGTGTATGGCGGCGGTGTTCGAAAATAAAACACAATGCGTTTTTGGGTCCGTTTTCTTTCTGAAAATTTTGGCCTGCAGAAAAAGCCCCGTGGACGGCCGGAGGCAAAAGTTGATAACGAAGAATTGAAGGCTATTGTGGAAGCGGATCCATCGCAAATTACGTCTGAGTTAGCTGCAGGCTGCGGTGTTAGTGATAAAACTGTTTTAATCCACTTGAAGCAAATTGGAAACGTGAAAAGGCTTGAAAGGTACGGGTACGGGGTTGGGGGGTACCTCACGAATTGACTGAAACAAATCGACAAACGCCCGTCGACAGCTGCGGCATATTACTTACTTACATTGCTCAACCGGCACAATGATGAAGGGGTTTTAAATCGAATCATAACATGTGATGAAAAGTGGATCCTGTACGATAATCGGAAGCGCTCATCGCAATGGCTGAACCCAGCCGAACCAGCCAAACCATGCCCCAAGCGAAAATTGACTCCGAAAAAGTTACTTGTGGGCGTTTGGTGGACTAGTATCGGCGTCGTTCACTGCTCCTGCTCACGACAATGCTAGACCACAGACTGCACAACAGACTGCAACCGGCAAATTCGAGGAACTTCAATTGGTATTTCTAAGACATTCACCGTACTCCCCGGACCTAGCTCCAACCGATTACCATTTTTTTCGAAATTTGGATAACTTTGGATCTTGCAAGGTAAAAAATTCAACTCTGATAAATATTTCACTGATTCTCGTCCGAATGTTTTTTTAGTATATGGATCAATGAACTATCTATAAGATGGCAAAAGTGCATAGATAGCAATGGTACATACATTGATTAATTAAATATATTTATATTAAAAAAAAATCTACTTTTTGTTCCTCCCATACAAAACGCCAATTTCACATATATAAGGACCTAATATAAAGAATGCCTCACGAAAATGAAGTGTAGTCATTATTTGAGCAAGCTTGCAGTTATAGTATAGCGTGTTTATTAAGTACTAATAGCTTAAGCCTTTGTAAAGGGGCCCATTTATGCACCAAAACATAAGTTAAAACCAAAAATTTGTTATAGTATACACAGTAATACTACATTACACTACGGATTTCTAAGCGCAAAATAACAAGGCACATGCGAATGTTAGTAAAAGGTGCATGCACAAGTTATGTTACACGAAACCATTCCACCTTTGATTAGTCCACAAAGCATTCAAAGAAACGCACTAGGGTTAGCACGTGGATCCTTCTGATTGCGATACCTTACAGTCAACCACACACCCAGAAACTGCAAAATCCATTTGAATATTAGTAAAAAATGGTTGTTAAACACAAAGATCTTGTTAGCTATGTAGATTTATATACATTTATTATATATTTCAGATATTATTTCGTTTCTTCGTTAAGAAATGGCATAGTTCATTAATGGAAGTAATCATATATTTTCGATGATGAAGTTTGAGTTCAGTCATAATAAGAACTAGTAATTGCTTTTTGAAAAAAGCAACAAATCTCTAATAATTAAAATTAATATCATTTAAAGAAAGTTGCCCTCATCATTTTGTTGAAAAACCAATTGTGTATTCTCCACCTCACAAACAATAAAATTAAAAATGTGTCTTTCTGTCTGCTCAGTTAGTATTGGATATTGTACTATTATGTCTATCTAGCACAGAAACTATATTTTGCCACTTTTAATCTACCCATACTATAAGCCCATTTCCAAATACATGTAAAGACTTTTCTCTTGTGGTCATAGATTTTAAACAGAACAATTCTGTCTGCGGGCACTTAAGATTCATTACTACCACAGTGTGCCTGACTTATGTATAAATTACATGCCTTTTACAACTAAAAGTAGACAGAGAATTCATTACGTAGATTCATTGTATAGCTTGCTGCTGCAAAGAAGATAATTTGTAAACTTCTATAAATAAAGTGACAAAGAATTGTTAAATATGTGAGATAAAATCTGTGTAAATAACAAAGATATTCTTATCATAATATCTCATACATAAATTTCCAGAATCAAGAAATGCTTTACCTAAAATTACTACCTGCCTACCATACAACTACTACTTAGGTAATTTGGTTAAGGAAAATGAGGGATTTCTCAACGATATCACCAGAATATTATAGATTATGGTTTACCAGTATTTTGCATCAACAGCTAACTAATTCAAAACAGGCTCTTATAGCCTAGTAGTGGAAGATAGTAAAAGCCAAATAATTTTATTTCCTCAAATTACACAGTGAGGCTAAGAAGTGGGACTATGTAAAATAAATGAACTATGTTACCTCGGTAAAGCTGAAGAACAGTCCAATTCCACCACACAGTTTAAAAGCATAATCTATTGTTTCCTTCAGCTTCTCCATACATGGCTCACATTTACATTTATCTGTGACTGTCATGTGGTTACAGCAATTTCCCTGAAATAAACATACAACTAAATATACAACAGAAAAATACAACAAATATTTTAAAATTTTGATATAATATATAGCTGTGTACCAAGGGATTTTTCTTTTTAAGGTACACAATTGACTTTTGTTTATTCAGTTAAGGAACAATAATTTTAAAAACTGCAAAAGGTCCACAGGAATCAAATCTTACAAAACAAAACTGTAAACAGTATACTGTTTTAATAATGGATTCCAACTTAAAGGGTATGTTTTTTTTGTCAAAACATATTGTATTTTAACACATTCTATGTCAAGTCTTGACTCCAAATTGTACCCTATGATACATAGAAAGCAATTTATATTAAATAATATATTCAAACTGTCCAACATATTCAATAATAATTTCAAATTGTCTTACATCAACAACAGCACATGAAGGGTAATCCAAGGTGGCATTTGGTGCAATTGCTCTGCTTTTAAAGCTGCAACATTGGAATCTCTCCTGCACTTGCTCCTTCATATCCAGGTCAACTGAATTCCATCCCTGAACATACAATTTTACAAATGTGTAGTAAAGTAAAAAAAAATGAGGTTTTATTTAGGCAAAATGATAATACCTGTTGTGCCAGCATCTCTTGCTGGTCAGAATTAACTCCAAGACAAGCACAAGCAATTGAAAACTGCACCAGAAACAAAAGAAATAAAATTACCATGTACTGTTATATTATATTAAGAAAATGTATTGATATTATTATAAGACGGATATAATTAGCGTTTTAAATGTGTCTCATAGTGTAGCGTAATAATAATAATAAAAACAATTATTACATGTATCTATTAGTATATTAATCACTAACCTAAATGCCAATCTCTAATTATACAATATTGAAATGTTACAACAAATATTTTAAAGGTACCTGGAATAAAAATTTGACTCATTCCTATGTGTTTCCATGGGCCTCATTAATCTTTTGAGAGGAATGATTTATTATTACCAAATATATTGCACAAAATTACTTATCTCAAATGAATAAAAAGGTTCTTTGGCAACTGACACATTAGTGTAGATCTCAGAGGGTGTATTATGGCTTGGTTCATAAAAAGGATACAAAGAATAACATGACTTGATGATGTTTCACAGCACCAGCTAAACCCAGTAGTGATATTAGAATTAGTAAAATTCCACAAGCCATTATCCCTCCAACTATAGGTAAGGTTGTTAAAGCTGAAGCCTGGCCATAGACAGCTACTGATATAAGAATTGAGGCCACAACCTGTTAAATAATTTTATTAAGAACATTAAAAGTAACAACATAAATATATAAGTAGGACAAAATTAATAGTTTCTTACCACATAGAGAATGTTTAATGCTATAAGAGCATTTTTAGAGCACGTAAAACCTCCACACATATTGAACTTGACTTTCACTTAATCGCGTATTATATATATTTATTTTATTATATTAGCTGTTACTTGTATGAATTAAATACAACACAACAACAATTATTTGAAAATAAAACTATCTTAGCGTAGCACTAACTGTTAACTGATTTATAAGTTTCATTTATTTTACGGAAAATAATTTTGAAAAGCTTAACATGAAAAATAATTATTCATTATACTTATACTGTTATGGATAATGGAAATCAGAGTAAACAGAATTTCTTGGCGAATAAAAAGCACAGACTAGATATTATTAGTATGTACATCAGACACCAAACCGCAGGCAAAAACAAAGTTTATAAAGTTTTCAAAGATAATAATTCAATGCACAGAACAACACAACTGACTACGAATGAATAAAGCCAAAATGTATATACGAGTATATCGCACCCAAGTCCCAAACTCACAGTAACACAAAGGCATAATTCGAGAAAGAACAGTGAACACGCGTTTAAAGATTTTGAATTGTTCCACGTTGGCTTGGTTTTGGAATAAAACACTTATCAAAGTCATGATTATGAAACTTTACAGATTTTTATTTAATTAATTAATTTTTTTATAAATTCTTTATTGATTCCTAAAAAAAGGAATTCTAAATGGGATGCGCGGCAGGGGTGTAAGAGAGGCGAAAATATGTTTTCAAAGCTTTTGTTGTCCTTTTTTTTTCCTCTCAGCGCCCTAGGAGAATTTCATTTTGTGCACTACACATTTAAAACCTCACTTTACCAAAAACTTGAGTTAAGCCCTTGATCACACGTACCGAGCAAACCGGCGAGACAGTACTCACGGTCTCGTACTCGGTACGTTAAACATAGCGCCGAGTGCACGGCCGAGCGCTCGGCCGAAAGAAATGGCGAGACAATAGCTCGGCTGCCGTTCTACTTACTAGACCGAGTTACTACCCTCCCGCTTCCCCGCACTGTCTCGCTCACTCACTCGGCAGGTTTGAACGTACACTGTCTCGCCACTCGGCCACATGACACACTGGACTGGGGACACGTGATCCCCTATTTTTATTGTTTTATATTTTTTGCCGTCGTTGAATGTATTATACTTCTCAGTTTAGAATTTCAATATTTATCAAACATTCGAAAGAGGCCAATTTATTTTTATATTTCCGGTCATAAATTAATAAATAATCAACTCTTCCTGATATAATATCAGGGAGAGTAGTTTTCGGCCCAAATATCATGAAAAAATACCAGTTCACCATACATTTGGGAGATTTCTATTGTTGTTATCGATTAAAATATCTATAACATTGTTAAAATATGTCCCCTAGGGATAATTTTTTATATTTTCTAATGAAAATTAATGAAAATTTCTAATAAGTAATTTTCTAAGGAATGAGTACCTAACTTTGTATATTTTCTAATTATCTTTTTACGATCCATCTTGTCCGAATTGTAGTCTCAATAGAACTGAATGATTTCAAAATGTGTGTGAACAGCTACTCGCTTACTACACTGTCTCGGCCGAGAAACATTTTACTGTCTCGCCAGTTTGCTCGGTACGTGTGATCAAGGCATAAGGGAGCAATATTATTATTCATTATACACTCATACACTCTTATAATATAATTTCACTGCATGAGTTGGATGTTATTGTCTAAAAATCAAAGAACCGTTGTGAATTTGACTAGCCAGTTATGTGCTCATGAGAAAACGCTGAAGAACGTCCATGGAAACCTAGAAAATGAAATTGGACATGCTTTGGCAGTTATGGATAGTCGAATGAAGAGTCAAAGGAAAGCGGGACTTAAGACTACAAGTTACAAATTCTACTTTTGTAATGAAGTTGGACACTTTAGGCTAGACCGCCCAAAGCGTCAAAAGTATTAGAAAAAAAAAAAGAGGTCACTTGAAATAAATAGTACGAAATGTAACACACATAATATTATAATAATATTGAAACAATTTACAAACAACATTAAAAATATGTCTTATTTTTCAACTTTAACTCTAAACATATTACAAAATTAATAAGGTAATTATAGCGTATTTCAAATATAAATTACAACATAATTTCGGAAAATTTACCGTGTTTTTAGAAACATTCTACCAGCCGCTAGGTTTCAGAGTTGACAGCTCTGCATCTGATCGCCGATCGGAATCTGGTTTTTAGACAACAAACTCGTATAACGATGCGGAGATTTATTAAAAAACTATAAGATTTTTACTGAACCTCATACAATTACTACTGCTTATTTATATATATCTACCGATATCGATAATTATTATGTATATATAATTATATGGATCATTTTAACAAAGCAGTCAGCAGTCCCCCTGGACATAGAAGAAACAAGCTCCAAATTATCTTTATAGTATCGTATGATCGTATCACAAATAGTTGTATATTGCTTTTCTTTGTTTTTTTTTTTATAGAGCGCATCGTGCAATCAGTCTTCTGACTATGAGCAGATGAGTTGTAGGATGATTTGCGGGTGGAGATATTCCTCATTAGGAATATCTACCATAATAATATTAGCTCAGTCAATGCTGCTGAGCTCCAGGGTTCTTCGTCTTTTGAGTCGGTTTATATACTCCGGTAGGGTGAATTGAACAGCTAGATGGTTAGGATGATTTTCCAGCCTAGTCTTGTACTTCTGAGCGTATACTTTTATTTCCTCCTTGACTGTAGGTATGCCCAGGTGTTCATGTACTTCGGCGTTTCTTATGAACCAAGGCGCGTTGCTTATTTGTTTAAGGATGTAGTTTTGTGTTCTTTGAATTTTGGTTTTGTTAGAGTCACATGTAGCTCCCCACAATTGTATCCCGTAGGTCCACACGGGTTTTATAACTGAATTGTAGATAAGGAGTTTGTTGTCGATGGACAATTTCGAGTTTCTACCCAGTAACCAGTACAGCCTCTTATATTTAATGTTGATCTCACGCCGTTTTGTTTCGATGTGTTTTTGCCATGTCAATCTACGATCCAAGTGCAGTCCAAGATATTTAACTGTGTCACTCTGAGGCAGTTCCTTTCCTCCTAGGTTTACAGGGGAGCATGTCTTTCTTCGCAGTGTGAATGTCACTTGTACTGATTTGCTAGTGTTCACCCTAATTCTCCACCTATCGAACCAGTTGCTTATTTCATTTAGGCTTCGCTGCAGCTTTAACGTGGCTTCTTCGGGTTGTTTACTCGAAGCTAGGATTGCCGTATCGTCTGCATAGGTTGCAATGTTGACTTCAGAGGTACGCGGTAGATCTGAGGTAAATATGGTGTACAGCACTGGGCCAAGTACAGAGCCTTGAGGTACCCCTGCAAGTATATCATGAAAACCTGATGTACAATCCATCTCTTTCACTTGGAATATTCTATCGGTGATATAAGACTCTAGGATTCCATAGAAAGTATGAGGCAGAAGTGACTTGATCATGCATAAGAGCCCCTTGTGCCATACCCGATCGAATGCTTGTTGAACGTCCAGAAATGCTGAGGAGCAGTACTCTTTTAGCTCAAGGCTATTGCTTATGAATTTACACACCCTGTGAGTTTGTTCGATAGTACCGTGTTGTGCTCTAAACCCGAATCGGTGATCTGGAATTATAGAATTTTCATGCATAGCTTGCGAGAGCCGTCGTAGTAGTACCTTCTCCAGTACTTTAGAGACGATCGGGAGAAGACTTATAGGTCGGTAAGATGAGACGTCATGTGGCGATTTCCCGGGCTTATGGACCATAATCACCTGAGAGACCTTCCATAGCGCTGGAAAGTATCCAACACTTATAATCCGGTTGAATAGGGTCGTCAAGTAAGTTATATCCTTACGAGGTAATTCGGAGAGAACCTTTTTGTCAATGAGGTCAAAACCTGGTGCCTTCCTATTCTCCATTTGTTTCTTTTCTTAGTTTAAATAAACAAAATACTGCATTTTAAAGAAAGTTTTGATAAATTTTTTTAATAGAAGAAACAAGCACTTAAGAGACATTATGTGTATTATTAGAATTAAATATCTATTTTTCGAGTTGTTTAACGTCAAAAACTTTTAAAACGAACTTGCACACTAACGAACTCTTATATAATATGCAATGGGCATATTTGGATATGGCCATTTTAAGGAAAGTAAAATATACATTATACAACTTGGCTTGAAATTGAATTTTATGTAAATTTGAAACGTGTGCGCCTGACGGATTTAATGTAGACTCCTTTATGAGTTTTTGGTGTAATTAGATGATTAGAATGAATTAGAGGGATTATCATCGTTCGACAGCTGTAATACTATAATTGCTACTGTACTACTCTGAGTCTAACAAGTATTAAAGGTTACTAAAAATTACTGCGCGCATGCAAGTCATTGTATTAATATTACTTTTAATTTGAATATTTAAAACAATTACAACTCTGTTGTGTTAGTTTTTAGTTCAATACTTTGTCGATGTTAACTGAAATATTGATTAAGCCACCAATGTAAGGAATTCTTGCGAGGACTGAATTGAGGTTGGTTCATAAGATATAGGAAGTTGTAAATTCCTTAGTTGCTATAATAATAATATATTTTTAAAACTTAACATACATATACCTAAGTATACAAATAATCATGTCTCTAGTAGCCCTTCTTCTGGATCATCAGCCATTAACATTTTTTCAAAGAATTGCTTTCTATGCACTAATGCAACATGTGGCTGTCGTAGTGTATAATTGACATTTCCTTTTACAGTGTACTTCCTCTCCCCTTCTGGTCCCATTAATTCTCGCAAAGCTTGATTTCTTGCCAGAAGTTTTTCATAAAAAACTACACCACTTTCAACATATTCTTTTCCAAGTTGAACAAGAGCTTTATCAGTACTAGTCTCATAATGAACTTCTGTTGCATCCTTTAACAGGAAATAAGTCCCTAATCCAAACAATCCAGTAATGGAATATAGCATAGCTCTCATTGCAACTGGAGCTGCATATAAATTAAGACGTTTATTTAAGTACATTGACAAATTATATACAAGAAAAACTGATATAAAAGGATATGAAGACTCAAACATAACTTTATTATTTTGAGTCATCAATATTTCTCTGCAAATTGCAAATTCCTGCACTTTCTCAGGAAGGATTAATGCTTCGCCAAGTTTTTTTCCAACTTCAGATGAAAGGTCAACGGGTTTCTGATTAACCTGATGAATAAATTAAGATTAAACTAGTGACCAGGAGAACACAATATATGAGAAGAAAAATTTTGTTGTGATGGACCATAATATAGCAAAAATTTACTCACATTTCAACTCAAGAAAATTCACATAAATTAAAAAATAATCTTGCTTTAACTAATAATATATTTTGAAAATGATTAAATTATTTTTTATTATGTACATGTTTCTTTTAATAGAAACACCTGGGAACTGACCTGAACATTATCTTTAGCTACATCATCTAAATTATTATAATTGAAATTGACTGGTATACCAATTAAAACACCGAACCTGGAACCTGTACTACCTAAAATAATAAATTATTTCCAATTTAGTAAAATTAAGAAATAAAATTTGTAATATACATACATAGAAACAACTTAACATTTTTTATATATTACTAATTAATATACAGTTTATTATTTATTATTCTAAAAAAATTCTTAAAAATACAGATACAATATGAGACCAAGACCCATAGGGTTGATCTCCACTGGATTATTATTTATAAGTTTGATATGATTATGCTCAACATGTTAGTATAATTTTAAAACAGAGGACATACCAGCATGAAACAAATCAAATCCAAATACAGTAAAAGGTTTTAATAATTTTCTTTGTACTTCAGATACTTTGAGGATATCTAGACATCTCTGATACCTATCCCGAAGACTTTTTGTTAAATCTACTGGTTTCCCTGCACTGTAAAAAATAAAAACAGGTACATGAAAACAAGGTTATATAACCAATTATGTTCATTCGTTTGATTATTTTTAAAATAAAGGCAAAACAATTATTTTAATTACCTGTAGTAATGAACAAACTCCCTGTATTTATCAATTAAAAACGTGTGAGGAGTAAATCTTACTGCTGTTAGAGCTATGCCGGTTCCCGTCACAACCACAAAAGAGAATTTTCTTCCCTGGTCTGTTAAAAACCAGGATATTGGTCTTCGGGTAGTCATTGTCTTAAGAATCACAAAAAAATATTATTCATAAAACTAGATATTATGTATTTTTATTAAGTTATTACAAATTAAAATAAAACAGGCATATGAATCTTCAATGAAATAAACAATTTAAAGTTTAAACCAGATCATCAGATGCCCAGATTAGAGTATACTATCAACTATGAGAAGTATGAGAATTGAGAGCGCACACAGATGACAGCTGACTTATGAAAGGATTAATGACTATTTTTCTGTCTGAATCTTAAAATGATTCTAAAATTAGAAACCGCAGTCAAAAGTCAGAACTAAGTAGTAACTATAGTCTACCAGAATCTATGGCAAAAAAAGTTTAAAAATTAGCAATTTGCATGTGCAACAAAAAAAAATCGTCCAAATTTCGAGGAATGTTTTGGTTTGGCTTCAAATTTACTTTAAAAGTGGTGAAAATGTCGAAAAAACTCTTCGTCGCAAGCAAAAATATTGTTTTCAATGTTTATCAAAGAATATTGATCAACAAGGTGCAGAACATACACATCACGATATTAGCCATGCAAGTGTTGATGGTTAGTAGGAATGACCGTCTTGATACTTATTATATATTATGTACTTATAAAACTTTGGTTTATTTAGGGGTTTCTGATACTACCATAAGATGAATTTGCGAAGGCAGATCTAAAAGGGTATAGTAGCCCGTAAAAGAGGAAAGGTGGCGAAAAAAAATAAACTTGGAAGATTTGATTTAGAATTGAAAAAAACTAAATATCAGATAGATGAGATTTTTAAATCAAGGCCACGAAGTCTTGAGGCTCCCACCATATATTGTACATTAAACCCCATAGAATTAATTGGGGACTAATTAAACAAAACTTCACCGCTACAAAACGTCAATAGACCTGCAAGTGATATAAAACTTTTAACAGAGAAATGATTTAAGAAGCTTACTCTCAAGTAGGGATCGATGAATGGCGAAAATCTTGTGAACATGTAATAAAAATTGAAAATCAGTTCATAGAACAAGATCAGTTAATTGAGATGAGGAGGATAGGTTTATACTAAATACTAAGCCACTTCCTTTATGGATGTGCAGTATTTGGAACCATTTTCAAGTTCTAATAGCCTATAATTAATTAATAAACTCATGAAAGAGTAATTGGAGTTTTCATCTAAATTTCAAACCCCACATTCACCACAGTAAAATTTTCAAAAATTATCCTTGATCATTGGATAAATTTTTATATTTGCATGTATCACACACAATCAGCCGCTATAAGGAAATAAAGTATCAAAAGTTGTCTCCAATTTCCCCAGTATTGCTAGCGTCAATTTCTTTTCTTTTGGTAGTAAGTAGTAACTAACTAACAGCTAGTAAGTACTAAGTAGTATCTAGTAACACTGGAAAGACCGCCAAAGCCCAAAATAACCAAATGCTAACCTAAAACAGGAAAAATACAAATGTTTATTGTTTGTGCTTTGTGTACATAAAAATGTTATTTGCTAAGTACAAAACATAATAAATAACGCGGACAAGTTAAATGATGATATATAGTATTTTAATTATACTATTAAAATGTTCTTAATATAATTTAATATAGTCCAACATTAAGGTTCAAGAATACCACAAAATTTCTCGCAAATGGTAAAGAAACAGAGGAATTAGCGAGAAATAAAAGGTTTATTCAATACGTAAAGAATATTAATGTAAATATGCAACTTTTGGAAGAACTAAGTAATTTGCAGCTGCAGTTCCTGGACTATGATTGGGTTCAATCTATATATGATTCTGAGTTCTTTGAATTTGGCGATTTGCCTTCTGAATTTCAAAATGCTATTGACTCTTCAGAAGTAAACTTAACTTTACAAAATGTAATCCATGCAATAGATGATTGGTTATCTTGTAAAGATAATTCTGATGATGATTCTTCATGGGTGACACTCTCTAATCAAGTCAATCATAAGAATTTATTAGCCCTATTAGGCTATTATATTGACTGTGGAAATAAAAATATATTTCCTACTGAGGCTAGAAATAATGCATTGTGGGCATCTCGGCTCTATTTTAAGCTCTTATCTATACCTGGATATAAAGCATACCATATTTATCACTCTCAACTGTTTGCCCACACTCTAACCTGTTTAAGTTACCCAAAAACTGTATGTGAAAATGAAGATAACTTTTTTAATCCTAAACAATTGATAAGAGTAGTGAACTCTATTATTAAAGAACTAAATGAGTTTGTCCATGAGTTGAAAACTGTCATTGTGAAACTACAACTAAGTCCAGGAGACATAAACTTTGAGGATATTCTATCTAATCTGATTGATATCACTGGTGGATCTATTGTCACAAAATTGAATATAGGTATGTGGTAAATCAATAACTTGACAACAACCTAGCCTTTTTAATAAATGGTGCTATTTAAACTACAGCCTTAGCTTTAGCTGTAGCTTTAAATTCAACATTATTTTTAAGGTAATCTTTGATTAATTGAATTACACTATGATGTTGACATAATGTTGAACTACACATTAAAGATTAGACCTTTTAGGTGGTTAGTTGAATGGTATCATTAGTATTAAAAGGATCTTAAATATTTGGCTAATAAAGGTTTAAAATATTAATATATTTATCTTGTTATTAATGTTTCAGATAAGATAGAGCTAGCAAATTTATCCAAGGTTGTATATGAAGTTATTGACTTCATAATCTGCACTGCAGATGGCGAACCAGATGCTTTAGCAATTAAGTTATTGTTCAAGGCTATGCTTCCAAAATTTATTGCAGCATCATTAGACCATAAACAAGCTAATGTATGTAAATATTAGCATTTAAAAGTAAATTAATCCTAGTTAGTATATGAATACGAGAAACAAATTTTTTAGTGACATAAACTCAAGAAATATAAAACATTTTCATTATAAAAACCTTGTGTTTTATATTTTAATTTTATTTTTCAGAATATTGTAAGAGCGTCATATGTGGCATACTCTGGACTCATCTTAAGTAAATATGGTAAAACTGCACTTTCCAGTTATGTAGTGCTCTTGCAACATTTAACTTATTCCTTGGACGGATTGGTAAGCAATTTATTATAGACGTAATGATCATTTAATTCACAGATGCAATGTCTGTTACCCTATTGCACTTGAAACAAATGATTGGAATAGAGATATCTATGTAAGGCAATTCTTTTTCCCTACAATTCTAAACTAACAATATAATCTATATACTGAAAGACATTAGCTGCTTCCTACAAGGACACGCTAGAGAGACTCTTTCTACTTGGGTAGTCCTAAAATCCCTATACAGACCATGGGGCAAACATGTTTCTGTTTCATTATCTGATACTTTTATTAAGTCTTGTTAACCACCAAGAGACACTGCCACATTTTTGGATATGCTTCATTCATACTTTTAAAATTAGTTTGCCCCATGTCCGCCGATTTGAAACAATTATTGTTTTCTTTAAAGCTATCAACAGCACATTTTCCAGTGTAGAACCTTGTTGTTAGAATCCTCAGCGTGACACTCTCAATCCTGAGGTCGTAGGTTCGAGCCCCGGTTGTGCACCCATGCACTTTTTGTCTGCGCATTTAACATTAACGTTGAAGGAAAACATCGTGAGGCTTGCCTTAGACCCAAAGAGTCGACTGCGTGTGTCAGGCACAGGAGGCTGACCATGCCTATTAGATTGACAAATGATCACAAAACAAATAATGAAATCTGAGGCTCGGACCTAAGAAGGTTGTAGCGCCACTGCTTTTTTGTTGTTAGTAACTTTACAAAACATTGACGTTGAGATTGTCGAGATTAAACATAGCATTAACATTTCATAGGAAAAGGCTGAAGTTCGCCAGACACGGATTCCACTGGTAGTTGGTCTAATGAGCCTCTTGCCACAGAGATCATATTGCACCACAGTCAAATGGCTTCTCAAGTTGACCACTACTGCAAAAGTACCTCATCGACAGGTGGCAATGGTATAAAATTGACATATATTTATTTATAAGTTCTAAAACAACATGCATGCTTAAATTTACAAGAACATATAACGTTACAAATTTCACGCATATTAACATCATTTGCACAGCACAAGCAAAGTTTTGCTTTGTCTATTATATTAGAACATGGAAATTAAAATGTATAAACGGCTCAAATATAAAGTCTCCTCCAACTTTGACTTTGTTCCCTTTGGAATAGAGACTTTTGAGCCGTGGGGTACAAGTACACAGGAGCTAATAATTTAAAGATTTAAGTTGGCGCCTGGTAGATAGTACTGGTGATCCCAGAGCTCACAATACAGTGAGGAAATTCTGCCAGCGTTAAAGGTACACTGCCACAGGGATCAAACTTGTAATTTGTTACAATTTTCAATTTTTTCTTTTAATCATTATTATTATGAAAGGAAACAGTACACATGTTACGCACATAAAAAGAAAAAAAAATACACGTGAAATTGTAAACTAAGGGGTAATTTAACATCGGTTAATTGGTGTCACGGGTTAAACTTTAAAGTCAAAAATCATTTTATCATATAGGTTACACAATGTACACTTATGAACGTCAAAAAAATAAATGTATACGAAATGCTTCTAACTTTACATTTAGTGCCAGTTCTCGAATCAAGGGCGTATAACGGAAGAGAAGAACTGGCAATCGCCATTTTTTTTTACACAACGTTTGTAAGGAGCTGCCACCATTACACGATGTTCCACATGACAGTTTAAGTAACTAATAATAATAACATAAATTAAAAACAAAGACTTTTCCTCTATCAGCAGGAGCCATGGTGAAATAGCAGCACTCACTTTCATTATCGTGGGAACAACACGCAAACACATAGTCGATATAACTAACATCACCACATACACGAATTCAAGTACGAACGTATGAACCACTGGTATGAACGCACGACCTAAGGGTTGACTTAATAAGGCTAATGCTGCTTGTAAGAGTATTGTCATCATAACACTCAAGAGCATATAAGTAGTATTTATTTTAAAGTAATGACAAATCAGTAATGTACTAAGTAAAACATAAGCTTAAACATAAGGCTAAGTAAAACATAAGGTTCCAAGATAACTTCTTACAGTCACTTATACACATAGATAGAATAGGTTATTCTATTAGATGAATCACTTACTCAAAACTGATTTTCCATTGTAGTAGTATTAAAGGTAAATATGCTTTATGGTTTCAGGAAATATTAGCTCAGCTCTTATCGAATGACGCAGAGAAACGGAATTCAGATTCTGGAATCGAAAGTCGAAAGACATCTATTGAAGATAATTTAGAAGGTATTTTTTAGAAACTGTTACAAGTGAAAACTTAAGTTTTTCATATTAATTATTATGTATTAATAATGCCTGAACAATGAGTTAACAAAAAATATTTATAGTCTACTTTCCTTTCAAAAAAGTTATCAGAACAATACTGATACATTATTACTGTACAGTAAAATAAACTTGAACACAAAGCAATAAAGACTCGCTTAGAACTAGTTGCCAAGGGCCATGGTAAAACTCTTCAAATGATTTTGGCTTGTTCTCTCACACGTATATACAGGGGCTCGAGACAAAATCACTTTGCAACGGGCGTGACCCACTTACGACAAACCAATATGAATGGAAATGGTCACGTGACAAAGCGTGAGCTAATTTTATTCTCATACAAATTCGTTTAGCGGGTCACATTTTGAGGTGATTTTGTCTCAAGCCCCTGGAACAACATAGATATTCATATTATGGTTCATAATAATTGTCCCGATGAATTATGTAACTCATTATTTTCAGTACATGATAATAATAAGGAAGCAGTCGTAGATACTGAAAAGGACCAAGGGAATACAATGGAAGAGGACAGTCAATCACAGTCATCAATATCAGAGGTAACAGAGTAAATGGTCACAATTGTCAAACGTCTCTCAGGTCAAGTTCTCTCATCTCAATTTTCTCGGATGAATCTGGTCACCAACACAGGAATGTCCTAGTGCGAGGACCAGCGACTGTAAAATAATGCAACAATGGAATAAGGTTTAATTAAAGTTTTAAATATTTAGTTTTAAAAAATACTCGCGAAGATTTATATCCAAAAAAAATTTTTTCAAATTGTCGATGGCAATTAAGTCATTAAATTTTGTTACTAAGATGTGTTCTCTCTAATTATATAACGCGATTTCTATTTCTACTCTTAGACATAAAACTTCTTTACGCGACTTCATTCACTTATACATAATATGACGTTACGATTTATATACACCAATTGTACTAGGAAATAGTAGTGGGCGCTACCATTGGGGTTGTCCTTAAATTTATGTATCTAATTCAAAATTGTTATTTATTTATTAATATACAAGTAGGTGATCAGCCTTCTGTCTGCCACATGCCATTTTTCTGCATCCTCGAGCGAGTCTTATACGCAACGAAGCGCATAGTCAGTGCAACGAAGAACACCTTTTGTTAAATATTTGGTAAATAATATTTTCGTTCTAGTTTGATATAGACCCATCAGAAGATATATCTAGTCTAATAAACCAGCGCCGGCATTGCGTCCCTCATGGAGAAATAGTACGTGCGATATACGAACGTATAAGTGACGTATCGGGCACGTTGCGTGCACGGGCAATCGCCATACTCACAGATTTACTTGGATCTGACCATGATCCCATTATTGAAGCTATGAGGGTGAGTAAAAAGTGATTTATAATTATATGTACATTATTAATAAATAATCAGTTTTATTGCAGTGTTTAATTAAAGTATTCATTTGTTTCTTTCCGTCAAATTGTATTCACGCTGTGAATGAAAAAAGGTCAATGTTTTTTTTAACATAGACTGATTTAAGTGATGAATAAATAAGAGTATTTTTATGTAAGCTCTTCGTAAGGTTACTTTTTTTAAATTTTAATGTTTCGTTTTTGAACTGAAACTTCTTTAGGCGCATTAGGGTAAAATGTTTATGGATGAAACGCAATAATAATATTACCGTCACGAAGATGTGCAGCGTTTTTGTCGAAGAAAGTTAGAACGGCGAATTACCTTACCTACCTTATTCTATTTTTATAATTGAAATTTCGTTAAGAGAATTTATGAAATATTAGCACTTTATATTTTATGCAATATAATTCATTAAAATCTCAAATGACTAATTGTAAATTAAAATGTCACGTGTTTTTATTATCGTTAATTTTAAAAATAAATTTTTAATTTGTATAAGTTTTCGACACTTAAATACCGTCATTAACATAGACAATTAAATTCCTAACATATCTTCCTTTTTCCCTCCCTCTAAGTCTCGGAAAAGACAAAGTTTTAGATTTGTATAAATATCAACAAGACTTAAAAATTTGTTTGCCAAAGAAGTTTCATTTCTGACACGTGTACTTTGTACACACGCACTTTTTTTAACCTTTACCTACTAAAACGTAAAACTTTATCTCAATGTTGCCCTTGCTTTTAGAGACTTTTCGTTAATTTTTTATATTTTTAAATTCCTTAAAATACTTGAATTTTTTTTATATAACATAAAATTTAAGTTATGCTTCATTAGATGTTACTCTTTCACTGAGCATTTCCGAGCCATAGTTTAAAATTAAAATTTTGTTTCTAAACACATAGTTTCTAAAACTAATACAAAGTATTTTTTTTAAATGTAGTTTGATTGCTAGGATCTAAGCGGCGACGGGACACAGTGTCAACTTGCGAAAGCGGCCACCCGTTGTTCGTCTGACGAGCGCGCCGCCGTACGCAAAGCGGCCGTTTCCCTCATACATCGGCTGCTCGTGAGAAACCCTCATCCTACACATTACTCCGTGAGTAATTGTTAACCTGTCTCTACTGTGTGATATTTTTTATATGTTATTCTAGTGTAAATTTAGTTCTTTGTGTGTGTTTACGTGAATTAATTAAATTATTAGACGCACGTTAAAGGCAAATTATATAACACGTACCCAAGGCTTTAGTCAATTTTATATTATACAGAGTCCTGTAAATAATAAAACATTAATGGCCACACACACTAACGCGCATGCGCTAAAGCACGTACATGTACATGGCATCGACAAGAAATGTGAGACATTTACTTTAATAAAGTTTATAGTTTCTATTTAGTTTAAATTAAATTTATTTTGCCTATATTTTTGTTCCTTTCTTTTGTGTTTTTTTACTTTGCTTGTTTGTAATTTATATGTTTTAATTTAATAATGAATGTGTAGAGTAAAATTTGTAACACTTTATTGTATTTTTTAATCATGCATGCATTTCAGAACTTTTAAATAAATGCAATAAAGTTACAAATTAAACTCCACTTACTGTCACTCGATTTAAACTTTCTAAAACGTCGAACTTACTCGACTTTGGTTTGCCTCGGAATACATACATTGGAACATTTCTTTCGATATAACAATGTCACTACGACTATGAAAATGCGCAGTCCCTAAGCGTAATAGTATAAAGAAAGTAAACTGTATTGGGAAAAGAAATAGTAGTATTATTAAGTAACTCTCCAGTCTTTAGTATTAACTAAAGCACTAATTCAAATCCTTAAAACGGTTTACACTATGTGAATGAGTAGGCTAGAATAATTTCGTTTTTATTCGGTCGAAGTTTAATATAACGAAATAAAATAAATTTGCAGACTTTAGTATCTCTTTGCCGCGACGCAAGTATCCTGGTACGCGGCGCAGCCGTCAATGCGTTGGCAGATGTAGCGCTGAACAATCCAACTAAACTCTCACTCAACGCCTTCCTAACTGGGCCCATGCACCAACTGTCTGACCCGGAAGCTAAGGTAATATGATGATTTATCCTGTCAAAGGAGCAGTGTTAATCTAGTAGCTTCAGCGTGCGACTATCATCCCTGAGGTCGTAGGTTCGATCCCCGGCTGTGCACCAATGGACTTTCTTTCTATGTGCGCATTTAATATTCGAACGAAAAGTTAGACATCGTGACGAAACCGGCTTGCTTTAGACCCAAAAAGTACTGTGTCAGGCTCCGGAGGCCGATCACCTTCTTGTCTATTAGATTAGACAAATTATCAGGAAACAGATACAGAAATCTGAGGCCCAGACCTAAAAAGGTTGTAGCGCCACTGATTTATTTTTATTTATTTCTATTCTGTCAAAAGACATAACCTTAAAGATTCGATAGGAACACTACTATACACTAAGTAATGAAAATTTTTTATCAGAAAAAATATAGAAAGTTTATATATTTTTTTCTTTGAAACAGGTGTAGTAAAAAACCTTCCATTAATAATTGAAGTTACATCAAATTGAATTTAAAAAAATGTGAGCCGTCACGGGACGCCTGACAGATGTGGAACATCGACATTATTTTGTAAAAGGCCGCCAGTTGCTCTCCTTTTTATTTAATTATGTCAATTGTACTATATTAATGTATATGCAACGAAGTGTTAATAAATAAAAGTAATATGGAGAAAAGAACAGATTGTGATAGGAACTAAATATGACATAATGATAAAATAAAATATTACGACTTTTTTCCAGATAACGATGACTATTTATTGAATAAACATTTATTTTCATTAAATACAAAAATTTATTTCAAATCGTGACTACTTAATTCGTATCAGTGACTTCGAAATACACACACCGTACACACTACTGCATATAGACTGTATATATACCATCTTATAGCGTGGCGACGGGTCGCCACGGCATGCGTCGCCACGCCAGAAATCGATTATACGTGCGGCTATAGGTGTTTCACATCATAAATTGTTTATTCTTAGGTTAGAAAAGTTCTATTTGCATGTTACTTTAAATAAGGACGTAAAAATTTTGAAATACAGAAAATTAATAGTAAGTAAATTCAACTAGCGTCGGTACTCTATAATTTCCAATAGCGACCCGTATTTTGTAACCAAGTTCGATATAGTATCAGGTAATTAACCACTTTTATTAGCGGAAATTATAATTTAAAAATTTATTAGATTTATTGTTTATTGATTTTAGATTTTTCTTATTAAAAACAGATACAAGAACAAGTAATAAATCTTGCCCAAGCCATCATAGTGGCGCCCTTGCAAAAGTTCGATCCGGCAAATACTGACGAATGCCTCCCTTGGAGTTTCTTGGCGGGCATCGTAAGACTTAATATGAGGAAACATCTTCAGAAAGCCTGCATGCTTCTTGTGAAATCTTCAAACAGTATTAAGTGAGTATTTATGGGTAATGATTCGTTAAAATTTAATAGCGTTTAATATCATAAATAGTATTAGAATCTTTGTCCAAACTTGCGACTGGCCAATATTGTATTGAATCACAATAATTTAGCCACAAAATTTTTCGAAGATTAATTTAATTTAATCCTCACGTTTTAACAAAGTTGAACTAAATTCAATCTAACCGTATTAAACCATTGATGTTTTTAGTAGTAAATAGTACACCTAACGCCATCTAGTGAGTTATGTAAGTCACATGTATTAGTTAAGTGTCTTTCAATAAATCAGTTCACTTCGTTCCAAGTCAAACAACAGACGCACATTGTTTCATTAGGTTATGGGCCCAGCACGCTTCCATTGCGCCTTGTTTCATTAGCCATAAATGGCATAAAAATGTATATTTAATTTTGCAGTCATCGGTTAGTTGACCTAGTGAGCACTCATCTTGGCGTGCTGTCAGACGCGCGTGACCTACAAAGCCTCGTGTTATTAACAAGCGTAGCGAGACACGTCGAATACAACGATGTAGCTTTTCTACTCGACTATTATTACAAACTGGCAGGTACTCGTCAGGTAAGAATCTACATAGTAAAGCCCGCCATTTCAAGTGCTTTATAATTATTTTATTAAACATACATATAAAAACAGGTTACACAGTTATTAGGCCACGGGCGGCCTTATCGCTAAGGGAGCGTTCAAGTATTACGTAACGCAATTTTCGCAATTTTTGGAGATTATTACAAACCCCCCCATGTAACGTGCCGTAACGTTTTTCTGTATAGTAAAACGTTTCGTTACCACCTAGCGACTCTTTTTACCTAAAACTTACCATTATATGGTGTAAAGTATTGGAAAGTCGAAAATAATATTAACAATAACGCGTAATTCAATCCCCGCCCCGCATTGTCACGTTTTACAGTAGGACCCCCCCTCAAAATTCGTTACGTAATACTTTAACGCTCCCTAACAAGCGATTTCTTCCAGGCAACTTTAGCATGGAAACATAAAATTACAAAACTAACTGAAGTTATTTTACATTTTAGCATTTGACTAAGGTTATTTTGCTTTGCCTATTTTTGTCATTTATGTAAATGTACTAAAGTTTCATAAGCATTATATTTGTGCACGCCGTCCGCACCTATTCCATTCATCCAAACCACACATTGGTTCTAGCTTGTGACCTTTGGCCTTGTTGGTGCGGCTCCAAAATAATAATATATACTTGTTACTAACTTTTAAGTGCATCAAATGCCAAGAGTTTGTCAAAATAAAACGCATTAACTCAAAGGAATTAGAACGAATTTTTTAGGAGAATTCCAAGGAATAATGAAATAATCTAGCTAAACTATACTTATAAGTTATCTGTTACTGAACTATTGATTGATTAGGGTACCGTTTTGCTTTTTTGCTCTGGTTTGTCCAAATTATAATCGTGGTTTTTTAATCGCACAAACATCTCTATAGTAGATGTCACATCGTTACCATGGTAACAAACTCGGTACTCACTTTAATTCACGTTTTATAATACGAATGTGTGTACATATTGCAGGAGCGTCAACGCGATTGTCGCCTTATGCCGTTGGTAGTAGAGCTGATATCTCTATGGTCCCGCTTCATAGAGGATGAGGCAAGAAGAACATTACGCGAACATCTCATACAAAGAATTCAAATTGATGCAGGTACTAGATCAATATTTTAATATTAAACAATCATTTAATAATAGCTTGCGTAGAACCTTTGAGTTATTGCAATAGATACCTAAAATAAACATTTCGAATCGATATTACTTACTTATTATTTAATATCTACGATATTTTTACCGTTACTTCAATTAAAAAAAAAAACTTTTGACGTTTCGCATACATTCTGCTTACTTCGTAGACTTGAAGGTATTAAATGTCACCTATGATTGTCTAGTTGCTAGTTCTACCTAATTTTCCATAGATACCTGAAATAATAATGGGGCAATGAAATGCGTCTTAGTTGCGGGCAAACGGGCAGGAGGCTCATCTGATGTTAAGTGTTACCGCCGCCCATGGACACTCTCAATGCCAGAGAGCTCGCGAGTGCGTTAGCGGTCTTTTATGAATTGGTACGGTGTTTTCTTGAAGGACCCTAAGTCGAATTGGTTTGGAAATACTTCAGTGGGCAGCTGGTTCCACATAGTGGTGGTGCGCGGCAAACACTACATTGAAAAACGCTCGATTGGGAACGGCAGACGTCGGTTTGTGACCATGCGTGCCAAATTAGGAGCCCGTTGCCTCCTACTTATAAAAAATATAGATCTATATATATGTTGTCAACACGTATGTAACAGTATAGTATAGCTTTAAAAATATTTTCTTATTTAATTATAGAAATTAAATATTTTACCAACGTCTAAATGTAAAGAGTAGATAGATGTAGTAGTGTAAGATGTAGTTTGTAAATAGTATGGCATAAATGTTGGTAATTGTTTCATTTTTTAACATTTATTAGGGTCACTAACCCAATGGTTGACCAGTAAAGCGGATTCGTTGCTAATATGTTCCATAAAAAAAGTTTTATTAATTTGAGCTATAACAATTTTGAGATAATTATTCTTTATTACGTTAATTTTTAGTTACACTTTTACAAATTTCAGATTGTCGGCCGGCATGTGTGTCGCTCGCTGCGAATTTAGATCCTACAGATATGCATTGGGCTACGGACTTAATGAAAGCGTGTAAGTAGCCTTTTAATTACTTTTTACCTGCTTTTTTATATATAAGGTATTTTAATTATTATAATTTGTATTTGCAATTTTCTTAACCTACAAAGTAATAGTAAAAATAATTAAAAAATTTAAAACCAATTTAAAATAATCAATTATTAGAACCGATATTGATGGCAATTCAGTGCCATGCATCCATTTCTCTGGAACTGATCACAACAAACTTTTATTTCATACATTATGTAATTGCAACAATATCACATACATACAGGTCAAACTAATAGCCACCTTTGGTTGAAGCCAGTTAAAAATCGATATTATTGTTCTATTTGAAATGGGTATTCTATTTGGTTTATCAGCTGAGCGCCGAGCGTTAAGTGGAGGACCGATTGATGATTGGATTTGCGCGGCTGACCTTTCTTTGGTAGCGCCTGAACCGCCTTCCTTCGCTCTCATTAACCTTTATGTTGCTGCCTTACAGGCACCACCGCCTGGTAAATATTAATGTTTAATACTTTTTTTAGATTATAACGTGTTTAATTATTAAAGCTTACGTTTTGTTTGTGAGAAAAAATTATAATTCTCCCAATGTGATGTTTCACAGCATGTATAATGCTAGATTTATATTTCATAATAGATACCTTTTTTCTTTATTAAATCATTATGTTATGTGCACCAATAGGTTTTATGTCTGTTAGCAATTATACAAAATAAGCCATTATTACTGAATTTAAACTACACCTAAATATATACATAACGTCACAGCCTTCAATCTCAATAAATTATTTGTATAGCCAAATATAGCTATATCACTAAATCATATCATTTGTAAAGTGGGTTGTAAAATTATATTTCATTATTGAACGTTAAGCCAGAATGCGAAATTCCATCCGAAAGAGGGCACCAGCCCTGTGAAACCAGTTGCCATGGTATTTCAGAACAGATACGATTTTGTAAAACGGGCGTAATAACATCTTATATACGGCGAAGGCTAAGTAACTGCCTGCTCTCGTGCCCATTCTAACAATGTTCCATAAAAAAAGGATTGTTTGGTTTTATGAAACCACGGTAAAATTGAAACTTTTTTTCACATAGACATTTAACTAAACATTTTTGGAATAATATTCCATTAAGGGTATAAAAATCGCTTTATCAATCTTAATTTTATACTTGGAAAATTGGAATGATAATGGGAAATAATAAAGGTAGACTAAGTCTCCAACTAATATTTCCTAGAGAGTACAACATACATAATACTTAACAATTATTTAGATTATATACTCATATTAAATAATAGTCTATACAATACACGGTCACCTGCTGCGAACTATAGGCGCCGCCATATTGGCCTTGGCTGCTATGACGAACGCCTTTCACTTTATCCCTACTCTGCGGCCGACCGTCACGCGACATGCAACACACAGACGAAAAAGTTCGAGACGATGTAATAAAAGTTTCACTTTAAAAACATTAATATAAATGAATTTAATTTAGAGTGGAGTGAGTCAGAACGCGGCGCGTGCGTAGCGGGCATCGGACGTATCTGCGTACGTTCGCGCGACGCGTCCGTAGTAGCGGCCCCACAGCTCGCCATTTTACTACAAGACCCCGCTGCCCCGCTTTGCGCCCGCCTTAACTCTTTGCTGGCGCTTACTGACGTTTGTACAAGGTTAATAAAATATAAGTATTAGAAATACTTCTTTAAATATAAACACGAATTTGTTATATTACTCGATATTATGGCCTTCTGCCACGGCCACTCACTCGCGCTCGAAATGTCGAGTAGAACGTAAACCAAAGATTTAAGTTATTTAATGGATAAATAAGGTTGATACTTGTAAAATTTTAAAAATATAAAAATATTTTAATAGTGTATGAATATATATATATAGTATAATATACATAATGACATATTGTCTATATTACCCCCTTCATTATGTAGTCTACATATTTTACGATCTATGTTTATTATTACTATTTTAATCGCGAATTTGTATAGATCCAAGAAATAAACACTGGTATAAATCAGGACTCCTGTATGTCAATTTTGTATTTTTTCTAAGATATATTTCTTAAATGTGTTTCAAAAAGTTATTACCTTAAACATGTATTGCATTGTAAATACTCTTTAAAATTATTGATAACCTTTAATAAGCTTTAAAATATCCTAAATTATGATTATTTTGTATAGGTATACGTGTATAGTGGAGCCGCTGTTGAAATCAATGTGCGGATGTCTTAGCTGCGACGCGCCCGCAGAGTTGCGTCGCGCTGCCGCCCGAGTGCTCACACGTCTGCTCTTAGGAGGTTACTTGAGGTTACGGACGCCTCTTTATTACCGGTAAACATTTATTTATAATCTTTACATTTAACCACCAATACGATCTTGATATATTATTACTATTTATGGCATAAACTTTAACAATTGACTCGACATTTATTTAACAAGATCTCTATGAATCCATATTGTTAATAGAGGTCATGATGTGTTCAGAACATGCTTTTATACTATGTGCGGATGACAGTTGCTTAATTTTTCTTTAAATTTTTTGTAGACTAGAACATTCTGGCTGGGTAAATTTAAGTTATGACAGTTATTAATGATTTAATTTATTACGAATGTGGTATAGCTAAAATACTAAGTTATAATTTGAAAATCGCGGCAACTTTGTAGAGTGAAACGAAACGTTACTGAAACTGTCACCCGTGACCCGCACTATGCTACGGCGCTACATACTCTAGGTGTCTTTTGTTTTATTCTATTTTTTTTGTATTAATTTATTAGCATGTGTTATCACTTTTATATATTCATACTGCTCTGTTTAGTGATTTTCCCTTTCTCAGGTTAGATTTTTGCTTCGTATGTGATTGAAGGATATTTTAAATATTAAATAATTTACATAAAACAATGGGCTATTTGACAATATAAATGTGAAATAGTTGTAGTAATCCGTGTAAAACATATATTTAAAAGGCTTTATAGAGTAAAATATTTTGTAAATAATCACAGTTTTATAAAAAAATATATTTAAAAATATTTAATGCTCGTGACAAAAAACGGCCACATGTTAGTCAAATCGACAATACCAATAAATAATATGTCCTCTGTCTAATCCTATACCTACCTACCTTGGAGTATATTTTATGGGAGACTGTTTTTGTTTTTAAAATAATAAATATATTTGTGTAATTAAGGAATGGTAATTAACACGCAAAAGCCCTAACGTGAACAAACGTGTCTACTGGTATGGTGCGACGCCATCTTGTATATACTCTGATTTTTTGTTCCGTAGAATTTTGACATTTCATTAGAGTTGCTACTAAATATGTTTTCCACCGAAAAGGGGACAAATTTTACTTACTTGAGGGCAATAAAACAAAATGCTACGTATTTTTTATGTTTTACCTACAAAAAGGTAAATCTAAATATTTACTTACTCAAGTGACCCAATCCAAAAATAACAAATATTTCAATATCACGAACAATATATCGAATTAACTTTAATTACTTTATTTTGTTCTTTAGCTGGCATCACGGCCTACTAATTCCAGGTCTAGTAAACCTTTCTGAAAAATAAAATGTTATCTTTACTTGTGCGTTTTTACTGTTTGTGAAAAGCGACGTAATTATGACTCGCCGTTAAACTACTTTTGTAATAATTAATGTGGAGCATCGCACTTAATAAAACGGATACATTAACTAACAATAAAATGTATGTATAGACTCAGATGTTCAGACTCGTATTGAAATTAAGGTTTGCCATCTCTGTCATGTCAAAAACTGATAGCTGTCAGAATTCTACGGAATTAAAATCAGAGTATAAAGTAGCGTCAGCTTCTTAAAATTATAAAAATTAATTTTTAAAGCCAATATTTAACAGAATTAAAAATAATTTGTATAGGTTTGCCTAACTAATAAATAATCAGTAATAATTTTTAAAACCTTTTAAATATTTGGTAACATATTGAGATGGAAAAGCAAATTCAGCTTATGATTGTTCCAGCTTTTGTGCGTTGTTGGCGGACGAAGATCTGGAAGTCCGTGAGCCAGCAGAGTACTATGTGACGAGTTGTCTCACTGTTGACGTCATTTATCATCACTTTGTCGACTGCGTGCTGCATTATAACAACGAAAACGAAGGTATAAATAATTATAGAGTTAGGTATATTTATTGTTCTTTAGATTTCTACTCTATTGGTCTATGTATTAATTACAAAATGAAACATAACAGACACATCACATATATATAACATATTAAATAAATATTCCACGTCTTAATATTATCTTAAAATTAACATTTACCTTTCAAATTTATTTTTATTGAAAGTTTATCGAAATCTTTCTATCGACACTCGATCCAACCACAAAAACTGGTCTTGTTTGTTCCGCGCGTATGTGTGCGTGCACGCACATGAAAGTAGTGCGCTTTGTTACTTGTTAGTTGCCCATGCTTAACTTTTTAGTTTTACCATTAAAAATTTAGTTAAACCATTAAATCAATTAATTAATTTAAAAATGGTGGTTGTTTCATCTACCCCATATATACAAAGACACAAGTTATTATTAGAGAAGTGCCTTTGAAATTGCTTCATAAGAAAAAAGTAATTAAAATAAGAGTAATACAAATAAAATAAACAGAAATATACTAATAATAAAAGGTTAAAACAGATAATAGAGAGAATTTGCCAACATGTTATGATGTCATAATTAACGGTTTTAGTAAGTTTAGGTAACGGTTGGTACTGTGTCCATATTTTTTTTTCATACACTTCACTGAGACGTTATGGAACATTACGTTCTAGCCTAACTTAAGACTAATAAGTAATTTATGTCTAACTAAAAGAAAGTCTAATAAAACTACTTACAGTCTCTATTAAGGGGAAGACACTTTGTTCTTGTACTCTTTTTTTTTACTTACCATTGTTTAGCACTTAAGATTAACGTGCACTATCATTACGAATTCAAATGATTTCGTCCCTTTCAATTTTCTCACTAGGCCTATGGTGTTTAGTAGGGCAAGAAGTTAAATAGCCTCAGGGTGTGACGTAATGAATTGATAATACGATACCTGCTTGATGTTGGCCAGTTGGCCACAACAAAAATAAAATAAAAGTCCGAGAGATATTCGACATTTTCGAAAATTCAAAATATTTACTTGAGTCTTGACGCCAAAAAGACTCGAAATAAAGGAACTATTTTCATCAGGTTTTTTGGATAGTATTCCTTTACTTTTATTTCAATTCGCAGTTATTGATGCCCTTATAAAATATTGCATTTCACTTCCAGACAGGATGTCCTTCGATTCCCGTCAACTTATATACGACGTAATGCTCCAACGAATGTCAGTGGTACAACGATTGAATATTCAATGTCGATTAGCGAGAGAGATTCTGACGCATGCAGCTGATGAAATAGAAGAGATACGTGATGATGAAGAGCTTCCGGCGCCACTTAATGCTGCCCTGTTGGATACGATAACGTTACTCTGTGGACCTCGGATGAAACTGCCCAGTGAGTACACTTGCTTGCATTTGAAAATAGTTGATTCTGTATTTGGACAGTTCTATTCCTTAGAAAAAAGTTTAAGAGAAATAGACTGCTTACGTTGGTCCTTTAATTAAAGTTAAAATGTTTATAAATAAGACTGTATATATAAGTTTGTGTGTTTAAAATATACTAGTAAAGTGACTGATTTGGACTGTTCCGATACAGAATCTGCGAATATCAAAAGAATCCATTAAAAGTTTGTGGTAAAACGAGACTCATACGAGTTAAATTAATATATTACATTAATTTTATTACAGAAAAACCGGAAAAGTCTGGTGAAGCTGATATTGAAGATCTTCAGGAGAGAGTGACCACTAACATTGTGTCTCATGTAAGGATCATTTATTAATTTACAGCACAGCATTGTTAAATTTTTGAAGGGATTATTTCGTCGGTAATCAATAGTCTAGGCAGTGTATTGTACATAATTTTTTAAATCTTATACTATTTTTGGAAACGTGTAAATGATACTAGGTAATCACCCGCTTGCAATACAGTTCTAACTACATTCGAGAACACTGAAATTTGTAACTATTTCGTCTGTTGTAATAATTTATGACTTTACTCTAAAATGTATATGTCGGAGCAATGCCGTCATTGTCAGCTGTCATTGTCATTAAATATCACAGAGGTCAAAGTCAAATCAGTTTAAAACCGTATTAGTCGTTTATTTGATTTGACCTTAGATCATTTTTCTAGATCCATAAATTAACTATTCTAGATTATTCAATAGTTAATAGGAATAGTGATTCCATAGTCACTATTAGTAAAATTATTTTTTCATTATGACAATGACAGCTGACAAAAACTCTATTGCTCTGATATATATTGTTGTGCTTGATAGATAACAAAAATAACTAAATATTTACAGAAAATGAAGCGTACAGTGGCAGAGGTGCTAGTACCAGCAGTACTACGATTGTACGCTCGTCTACGAACCCGCGGTGGACAATTAGCTACGTATATAGTTAAGATTGCCACAGACCTACATAACGATTACCGCCAAGAGGTAAATATATACTAATATTATAAACTATCTAGGTTTCCTTTTTTATTAATTTGTCCATCACTGAGATAATCATTGAAAGTTACGAGCTCCGTCTGTGTCCAATAACTACTTACAGTCATTATTAAGAGGCAGACAGTGTGTTCTTGTGCTCTATTTTATCTTATTTTTGAGAATTTCTCTTCTGCCTCGTAATTAGGTACTTAATGTATGTATTTATTCATATTATTGTTATTTTTTAGATTATAGTTTAGTTTTTTGTGAGTATACTTCTTTCTAGTGTCATGTAATTTCATGGTTTTTTGTTAATTATTTATGCAGTTCTTGTAGTTTACTGTCAGTAGGTGTTTTTTTTTTTTATATTTTTCCATACTAGGGTTGCTTTGAAGACAGTTGTTAGGGATAAGGCCCCTTTGCCTAATAACTTATGTAACCTGTTTGGTTCAAATGGCAAAACCTTTTAAAAATATAAATAAATATTCTTTTCAATCTCCTCTCTAGGCCCGTGGTGGCAAAAAGTTTATTTAAAAAAATCCATTACAATAATTGAAATCCCAAACGGTTAGTTTGTGAAAAAGACAGATTTTATTCTTTAAGTCTACCATATCATTAAGTACGAGCAATATATCTAATACAGCCTCCCGTTTTTTTCAATAATTGTATGAGTTCAAGGAATTAGGAAGATTTTTGTCACAAAACGGTAACAATATATATAATAGTGTAGTCCGTATAGTAGATATGTAACTACAATCCGCGCATGCGCTGTCGTCATACGTATATACACTTTATGGTAATCGCTCGATTAAAAGCAATCTTACCATCACGTTATATACTAACTTAAATATTTAAATTCACTTTCAGATTGAAGAGCTGATAGAAGACGACGAAGAATTAGTAGAACGCGTGCGTCACTTCCAAGACGCGATCGGTTTGGAGTCGTCATCGGGCAACACACGTAACCTCGTGACGTCGTCCGCCCCACCCGATCCCGAAACGCCCCGTTCCCAAAAGAAGAGACCACGCCCTTACTCCCATACGCCCCGGAAACGGAAACTCAAGATATAATTATCTTTATCAGAGGTCGGTAATGCGTATTGGATATAAAGAGACCGCTTTCTAATGGTACGACATGAGAATGAAGTGCTCTAAGGTACATATTTTAATTCGTATCTCAAGTCACAATCTCGTCTTGAGCGCTGTCTGCATACAGAACAATTGGTTAGACAGCTCTTGGAAATAGATTTAAGTTTTATTGACATTTTAGAATATAATCTGGTTGTTAATTAGAACGAAATTCTATTGCAAGCGGTTTAAGTAATGAAATTACCAACTGTTTGAATAGAATATTAACAAAAAGAAAATAGATAAGTATAGAAGTTTACACCAGTATTTTAATGCAATTTTCGGTAGCGTTACAACTCATTAATTAAAACAAAACTATTAGAAATAATAGGTTTTTAGATATATATATTTTTTTATTTTGCTTTTCTATTTTGTAAAAGACATCAAATCAATCAATCAACGGTGTGCGTAATATTACGCACACCGTTGATTGATTGATTTCTATATATATTATTATGTCCTTTGATTTTTTATGCATTATTGTTCAATAATTAAGGCTAGAATTTTTAATTAGCTATTTAACTATTTTGAAAACCAAATGTATAAGTTCTATGGCTTATATTGACGTGCTATATGTATGTTTAACATAAATTATATGTGTAATATTAAATCCACCTCCGACTGCTCCATAGAGTACGGAAATTATGCAAATATTTTAAATGTAAGAAATATAATTAAAATAAAAAGTTTAAAAATAGTAGTGAGAGTTTAATTTTTGAATAGTTTTAGAACAAGGGTTTAAGTCAAAATGGTTGCGGCGTATAAACTTATGCACCGTACAGATGAAGTAAATGCTCTATCTGTACGCTTTAGTCTTTGGCACACCCTGTGGCATAATTTATGCTTATAGAATTGGTAATAGGAAAGTAAGTAAAGTCATAAAATATAAATAAATAGTTTTTCAAAATCCTTTGGGTCGATAAAGGCAGGGTATTTAAAATTTAGCACCTTAATTATTATAACTGCGAAGCAAATTTCAGCACGTTCCTGAATCATTTTATAGATGTTGAAGATCTTAATGCCGCACTCTTTTCAGAGTGGTGGTGGCCGGTTTCTTGCTCCACGCCGTTGTATCGCTGCCCGTATCACTAGAGATATTCACTTTTGTCTCCTTGGTCCGGTGTAGCAGTCTCGCGTAGCGTAGCGCGAGACCGGGGCAATTGCTTTTGAAGATTTCGTTATAATAGTTCACCAGTTTTGTAAATCCTGGTAAGGGACCATTTCTCAGCAAAGGCGAATGGTTTAGCGCAAGAAGTATCTAGATCGGTCCCTAGGTGGAAGTGTAGGGGACCTTTTATCAATCGCCTTTACTGAATATGATTTCACCCTCAGTTCCGCTCTTATAGTTATTAGTTTTATATATTTGTGAGAGGCTTAGGTTAGGTGAGACGTGCAAGCTTACCAGCGCAGAAAGCCTTTTTGGTCCCATTTGTAAACTAAAATAAAAAAAAGGTAGGAGCTTATCTAGTTTTTAATAAAAAAGTAAGAGCACAGGTTTCATATTAAATATATTTATTTAATTAGATATTGCAACATTGAAATTGGTTAACACATCAAATTGTTGATATTTTACAATAACGATCTTAGTTTACGCAGAAGTAAAAAACAATCGATAAGCTATAAGGAACTACAATAATAAATGAAAATCACTTCAAAACGTTTTTTATTAAAAAGGCATACAAGAATAGTTATGTATAAATTAACTTAAAAAACGAATCTATAACAAATACAACAACAAAATTATTAAAGTTCTTTGCTTAGATTTAACTTAGTATTTAAATCCGTTTCTGTTTGTATTGTGATGTTCTTGCTAAACGTCTTCTTCAGTAACATACTAATAGCCGCTTCCTCTGAAAAAATACCAGAGTTAGTAAATTGTAAAGTGATTTTTGTATAGAAGAAAATTCCTTGGTATTTCTATTTTATCACAAACCTGGACAAACTTTTGTTTAGAAAATAATTTATATATTTTTTTATTAACAATGGAAAAATAAATTTTACTTAATATGTACAAACCTGTGACTTGAATTGCAAGAAGTTGATGAACTATATGTCTCGCTGTAATTTTAAATAACTCTCTATTACTTATTTTATTTTTCTTATAGTAAGGCATCAATAATTTAACAACTAATCCAGCTACGTCTACTTTTTCAGTTTTCTTTTCTTTTTTCCGCTTTGTGTGATGCTTTGTTACAGCTTTTTCTCTTTCATTTGTTCTCGATTTATGGCGGTCCTCGGGTTTTTTTATTGAAATTTCAATATTTTTTTGAGGTTTACTGCCCTTTTGGGGAGATTTACTTTTATTAGATGTTATCTCAAACGAAGATTTGGTCTCACTGGTAGCAGGTTTCTCTTCCTTGATCTCAGGCAACGCTGGTTCTGGCTTTAATTCAGCAAATTGTTGAAGTTCTTTTAAAACTTTATCTGCTTCAACGCTTAATTTATGTGCTTCAGTAAGTGATTTATCATCGAACTTTGTCACAATTCCACTTGTAGAACATTCCTTGTTAGAAACAGTTTCTTCATTATTATCAGTGTTTTTTTCTTCCTCCGTTATAATTTCAGTGATGTCGTCTCGCTGTCTACTTGACGAAGCTGTTTGGTTTTCTTGTTCTTTATCGAGTACCAATGTTTCATCTGCAGCGTTAGGGTTGGCTTCTGTACATTTCGATTCGTTTATGACAAGTTCCTTTTCCGAGTTAACACTGCTTACAGAATCATTTCTGGGCTTCTTAACTGTTTCACTTCTTTTGCGATGGTGATGTCGTTTCGATTTCTCGGGTGACTTTGTTGCAAGATGACTTGATTGATTCGATTCTTGACTTGAATTTTTACTCTCGTCGATTACAAGCTCTTTTTCCGAACTTATACTTCTTGTTGAGTGTTTCCTTCTTTTTTTATCAGTTTCACTTGCACTCTGCTGTCGAGATAGTTTTATCTTTTCTTCCTTCTGTTTGTCTCGATGTTTATCTTTATGCTTTTCCTTTACGTCTTTATGTTTACTTTTGTGCTTATCTTTATGCTTTACTTCATCTTTTTGTTGTTCGGAATCACGGTGCATTTCTTTAGAAACTTTTAATTTTTTACGGGAATTTGAATCTAATTCGCTCTCATCGGATGATTCACCAAATAAGGCTTTAATTTTTCTTTTTTGCAGGGCCATGCTTTTTATTAGGGGACCCTTTTATATTTTCATCAACCGGGTGCGTATCCTCCTGTTCATGTTCTACTTTTTCTTCGTTTGCGCGTTTACTCGGAACACCCTGCAGAGTAATATTTATAACCAATGTTTTCGAATTAGAGTCATTTTTAGAATTTGAACTTATTTCCTCAATTTTTAAGGTTTTGTCGATATCATCTTCATCTGTATTATCTTCTATCTCGTCCAATTTTAGAGTTGATTCACAAGGGTCTGGTTTAGAGTGTTCATCAATAATAAGTCCACCTTCATCGTCACTAGCGCTTGAGGAGGTTTCCGAAGATTCTTGCGCCGTCTTCGGGGTGAAGAAGCTTTTCAGCTTGGTTTGTGTAAGAGAATCTTTTTTGAAGGAATTAGCCTTCCGTTTTGTTTCTCTGTCAGCTTTCGAAAGTTCTCGAGCTCCATTTTTATCCTCTATTCGCCCTGCAAATCAAATATTTGTTATAACTCTCTCGTTACATTATGCATCCATTATTAAAGATATAATTTAACCACCTTCTAACTGGGAAGCAGTAATAAATCCGTGCGATTTATGAGATTCTCCTTGTTTGCTTTTTTCAAAGTCCTTTACAAGTTCGCCGAGAGTTTCCCGTTTTTTAGGTTCAAATGTTTTAAGACGAAAGTAAAGACTGTCTTTAGATGCTTTTACTGTTGCAATCTGAAAAATAAATGTGCAATGAGCAATCTCATTATACCTTATTATAACTATTTTTTATAAAGATTTTAGAAACTGATAACGTTATTTATAATTATTTAGTAATCAATGATCCAAGTTTAACATTATTTTTACGTATTGGTGTTGTTCATTGAGTAGGGTAAGGTACAGCAAAACTTAGTTCTTGTATTATTATTCACATATTATAAAGAAAAGGTTAATTTATTAATTAGTCTGACACTTACGTACTCCTTGAAATGCCAATTATCTTGGAAAAGCCGCCATATAATTATATAGAATGCACTTACCAGTTTAGTCATCGCTCGTCTATACAGGCTTATGACCGTACTGCTTGAAAAGGCCTCATATTCCAACTCGATAGCGCATTGTTCTACGTTATTCTTTGATAATGGCTTTATGGGTTCATCTACGTCTTTTAACGACGCTAAATTCTCATTAAGAGCATTTTTTAGGAGGGATAAGTAACTTTCTCTGCTTGCTACTGTCAGTCCATTTACCTATAATATTAAATATGAATTTAAAAATAAATAATAAAACCTTTAACTATCCCAATTTACAGAAATGGTAAATCCTAATTAATAATTATGATAAGTAAACTGCTTAATCCGGTAAGCTTTATATTCAATGTAATTCTAGACAAATATTTTAAAAGCTAACAACGTTTTAGCTTAGAATTGCAAATCGACAGTATTACAGAGTAGCCCTGCTGAACATAGTAACTCAATTCTAAGTGTTATTTATTTATGAATAACTTACTTTTGTGCTTGTACTATCAGCGGCTTTGCATTTTGAATATTTAGCAGATTCAGAATCATTTGACTTTTTGTCCTTTTCTATAGACTTCTTTCTTTGAGCAAACTCATGCATAATAAGGGAACGTGTCTCTTCGGCAACTCGACGTCTACTGCTTTCACCGTCGGAGTCATCACCACCATCACCGTAATATGATTCTATTTCCCTATATTAACCAGTTTGTGGTATAAGTGAATTGTTTTGATTAGTTAGAAACAACGGCTATATTTTAGCCGAACTCTACGAGACAAATTTATTGTATTATCTTTCTTGTGCGTTCTCTTTAGAACCCTAGAGAGAACAGACAGTCTTGGCACATACTAATTATTGATATATTTAATACCACTAGATGTTTACGCTTTAATGCGTACCAAAGCCAATAATTATGATTTCGTCGAAAATTCTGTGAACTCCGGATGGAACGCCACGTAAGTAGCCGCCAAGAGACGAAGCTTTAGATGAAATACATTTTAAAAGCGATGTAATATTAAATTTTACATTTAAATAACGCTTCGAATGCTTTATAGCGATGTAATTTCGCGTTTAAAAAGTTGTACGTTTGTTTTGGGTGAAGTCCCATAAACCCTTTTTATTGTAACACAACTTTCATTATCAACATAATAATCACCTCTTCTGTCCGTCTCTCCCCTGTCCATAGAGGTCGGATGAGTCATCGTGAGAGACAAAGCCCGCACGATGCAGCGTGGCGCTCATGGCTCTTCGCATGTGTTGTTCGAGGGCACGTCGTACGGCGCGTGCGTCCGTGCAAGCGTCGCATCGCGTACCGCACCGAGGTGGTTCTTCGCCGAAATAATCCGCGAATGTTTTGTGGCGGCATCTATTTGTATATATATTTAGCGTAATATAATAGCACTAAATTGAGAAGTCTAAAGTTATTATATTATTTTTGCTCTCAAACTGGCACACAAATAAAAATAGGGCAGTCAGATACCTATGAAATTATATACAATGTGTGAAAATGACATGAGAATTTAAAAAGGTGCAGCGCTATCCAGAATCATTCAAGTTCCTCACAAACGAGTAACCCCCAAAATCACAGTACACAATTGTATTGAAGAAGTCGCATGGGTTCGCCAAGAATCCGCTTATATACAATGTAAATACATACATAATTATGTAGGAATTAATAAAATAATAATAATAGTAAATATTTATTATTGTGATAACACTATTCTGAACGCGATATTACGAAGAAAGTAAAGTACAGAGTGACAATCAGTTTAAAAAACCTTTAATAAATTTTACTAACTATTTTACTAAGATTAGTTTTTCTTAGCACCAAAGTATTTTGAAACAAACACCAAAATGTGACTCACCCAACATCTTCACAGTATTTGACCATGATCTCGAAACTCTTGTACGCATTTTTACATCGTTGTTTTTGTTCAGGAGTCTTTGAGCGCGCGATGTCAGATTTGAGCAAAAAGTCGACGGCATTCCGTTCACTTCGGCAGTAGTAGATGCGACAAAACGCCGGTTTGCCGTCTCTGCCAGCCCTTCCTGACTCCTATAATGTAATGATTGACAATAAATTTAAAAGATTTCATATGGTCACAAATAAAAAATTGTCTAATCAAAAGGTCAACAAGATTATGATGAATGTTGGGACATATAAAAGCGATTCAAGGGGAGAACGCTGCCAGTATTTTTGGAACCTTGCCTAAAGGGACTCCTTTTAATAATATATTTTAGTTTATTATAAGTTTAGTTATTTATTTCAATGTATATTAATTTATTATTATATTTCCTATTGTAAATTCCTTAAGATATATTTTTATTAGCTATAATAAAAGAAAATATTTCAAGAATCTCAATCAAAGAAAAACCTTAAAAGATTTGAAATTAAATAAATCTCATAAAAAATGTTTACATTAGATCACTTAATGATGCAATAATTTTTATTGCATAAATATTTATTGCAACAAAATTACTATATTTTTAATAATCACGAAACAAAAGGATTCATAAACCGTTTAGCCATAACCTACTTGATAATAGGCTGCAACATTTTGTGGTAGACCCCAATGAACCACAGCGCGTACTGATGCCTTGTCAACACCCATACCAAATGAAACAGTTGCACATACACAAGGAAATTCACCATTGAACCATTGTTCTTGCACTGACACCCTTTCAGAACCCTTTAAACCTGCAAAATTCTACAGATTTAATACTATTTTATGTAATCCTAATATTATAAAGCTGAAGTGTACATATTTGTTTGGCTGATTGGCTCTCAGGAACCAGTGGATAGATTCAATTAAAAAAATTGTTTTATGGTCCAGTTATTGAGGAAGACACATTTGCTGTGACTGGATTAAGGCAGGTCACACCACAGGTTAGAGCTATCAGAATTTTGCCAGTGATAGTTTTTTCAATTCTTTTTTCTTTTACATTTAAAGTTAATAAGTTTTATTTTTTATACAATATTTTGCTATCCAGTTTGATAGAATAAACTAAAAACAAAACCTACCACCATGATAAGCTAATGATTTAACTCCTTTATTACACAGCATCCTAGCAATGTCCTCTGTTTGTTCACGAGTCCGACAATATACAATAGCTGCATTTTTATCTCTCTAAAAAAGAAAAAGGATATTATATTTCTTTGAAAAAAATTAAATTAGTCAATATATAAATACAAAAATAAATAAGTCAGAATACTTACTGCCTTTACATTATCATCATCCTTTAAAGATTTCTTCAGAAATTCGGCTAAATCGCCAACTTCATCTTCAATGCAATTTTGGTACACTACATCATAGAATAGGTTACGTCTAAAGCTAGGAGTCTTGAACTGTGCCACTGGATGTAGCAACTTAAGGTTCTCTAAAATGTCCTTAGTGACTTCGGTACTAGCAGTTGCCGTAAGAGCTACCCAAGGTATACTTTTAAATTTTTCACGTAGAAATCCAAGTTTTAAATAATCAGGCCGAAAATCATGCCCCCATTCACTTACACAGTGGGCTTCATCAACAATTATGTATGAGACCTTCTTGTATTTTACAAGATGTTCCAAAAGTGCTTTGAATGTTACAGTAGCAGCCTGTTCTGGAGTTATATATAAAAAACGTGTATTTGGTTTCATACTTTGTAAATCATTCAAAACTCTTTCTCTGTCTTTACTCGTCATTTTTGAATTTATTGATTCAGCTTGTATTTTTAACCTAGTCAAATGGTCTATCTGATCTTTTATCAATGCAAGTAAGGGTGAAAATACTATAGCAACTTTATTGTCCTGCAACATAGCAGGTAATTGGAAGCAAAGTGATTTTCCAGAACCAGTAGGCATAGAAACGTAAACATCATGGACACCTATAACAAAACAATTTTAAAACTTATATTAATATGAATACATATGAAAGGTACTTTTGAATTTGGCGCGCTTTTTTTTGAAGTGTTGGCAATACTGCATCGCAATAACATTCAGAATCTTCAAATGACAAAACAAATTTCACCTTAGAAAACTATTTCCAATTTACGAAATGTTATTAAGAATTGTAAAGAAATTGTAATTACCTCGCGCAATTGCTCTGACAGCCCTTTCTTGAAGCTCACTTTTAAATTTTTTGTGACCAAAACATTGCAAAAGTTTTTCTGTTACGTTATCCATCACGGTGTCTTTGTTGGCACTTAACTATAAAAGGTACGGCACTTTCATATAGTAACTTACACACACCACCTTTTTGATTGACTTAATCATTTTCCACAAGTTTAAAAATATAATATTTGGATAATATTATTTTACAACCTCGAATTAACATTTTGATTCTTATTTCTTTGAGTACTGATATTTGACAAGCTGTCTAAACGCCTGCTATTGGCCAAGGCCAAAATGACGTTGATTGGACAATCACCAATCATGTTTTTTATATTCTGTTTAAGCCTACAAAATCAAAGCGAGGTAATTTTAAGTTTATATAATACGAGTGTATGTTAATTCTGACCTAAGCACTAAATTTACATTAAGCTAAAATTTAGACAACTTTAATGAAATGGATATTTCCTTATTCTTTAGATTTAGTGGTAGACATGAGTAAACGGAAAAATCCATCTAACAGCAACAATTTAAATGCAGACTTCTGTGAATTCCTATCAGAGTTAGCAGAATACGAAAAGAATGTCAGCCGTAACATTCATAAGTACAATGCTTATAGAAAAGCGGCTAGTGTATTAGCTTCTCATAGTAAAAGAATTAAATCTGGAGAAGAAGCTAAGAAATTAAATGGCATTGGTGATAAGATATCTTTGAAAATAGACGAGTTCTTACAAACTGGAAAATTGAGGAAATTGGAAAATATACATAACGATAACAAAACACAAGCAATAACTTTATTAGCACGCGTCTCAGGTATTGGACCAGTAAAGGCGGCGGAATTAGTTAACAGTGGAATAATGACGATAGAAGAATTAAAACAACATAAAAATAAATTAACACATCATCAACTTATTGGTTTGAAGTAAGTACTTACTAATAATAATTGAAAATACAAACAACGCAACGAATTCCTTATTTACATACATAAATAAAAATAAAATAATCTGCCTAACAAATAACATGTCTTGTGTCTTTGATTTTCTTATTTGTTGATTACGTCAACAGTAATTATTTACTTTTTACACATATTACCCACACATTGTCTATGCTTGAAAACAAAAGGCATTTTTGAGGATTCCTACAAAAAATTAATACGTTGATGTACTGATTATTTTTGAGAGCTTTGCTTACTTTAGCTGAAAAGAGGAAGGAGGGGGGGCAGGGCCTGATTAACCCTTAGGCTAATTAGGCTGTAGCCTAGGGCGCGAAGATCTAGGGGGCGCTGAAAGCGTGTCTTCGGTAGCTTCATCCCCTGCATATTTCAATTAGACCGAGACAAAACACTAAATGAACTGTGAACTGGATCTACAAGCAGTTTTAGTATCCTAATTTGTTGCTTGTGTGTTACAAGCAACGATCAGCTAAAAAATGGTTTCAAGTCGTGCAAATTAAAGGACAGCGTTATATTCGCTTGCAGATCGATCTGAAAACTTTTATACCTAGAACCTTTTATAGCTGATAGGAATAGATAGGTATGAACCATGTTAAAATTTTCAAACTAGTAAACAAAGTCAAAACTAATATAACAAAACTTTTGAGACCGACCGTAACACACCGGTCACCTAGCGAGGGCGCATCCTGATAATTAGCCTAGAGCGGTCAGAACTCTTGATCAGTCTCTGGGGGGAGGGGGGGATAAATTGCAGTAAATCTGCTTATGTAATACTTGAACGGCAACACTATATCAATATCCAAATTTGACTTAATAGATCAAGGTAAAAATAATAAAAAGTGAAAAAAAATAATAGTAGGAAGACAAGTGAAAACCAGTGGAAAAGGAGGAGAATATTATAAAAATGAAAGGAAAAATAATTTACGGGCGATCTGAGGTCGCCTGGCGTTGGTTTTTTGGTGTCAAAAATTATCCATCCTGGTCTATGACGAATACCTAAGTAGTGTTTCATTGGGAACCGAATTTGTATTTTGCATCTTATGAGAAGTAAGGCAGTTTAAATTTTTTAGGTATTTTGAAGACTTTGAAAAGAAGATACCAAGGTCAGAGATCAAAGAAGTAGAAACTATAATGAAGAGAGTTATCTCTGATCTAGATCCGGAGTTTACGGTAACAATATGTGGTAGTTTTAGGTTGGTATGGTAACTTATATCTTATTGCGACTTAACGCTTAATTATATTTTTTTGTCGAGTAAATTGTTATTTTAATTTAAAATGGATACACATATATACTTTGTCTTATAAAAACAGTAATACTCCCCTATTTTCTTAATATTGTCAACTCTAATGGATGTAATAATCATTTTCGAGCCTGGGACTTTTTTAATTAACCCTTAGGCATTGTCCGCACTGGCAGGCGGTTTGATCAGCGACCAGGCTTTGGTCACATAACATCTGTTTACCTAGGCACAAATCTAGCGATATACCAGTTGGTCGTAGCTTTATATTAACGGAATTATCAGGAAACGCATACTTTAAAAATACATTAAATAAATATATTTCCCTAGGCGTGGTAAATCAGAAAGTGGCGATATTGACGCATTAGTAACTCATACCTCACTGAGGGCATCAAAGGATCACAAGAAACAAGGCGAATTACTTCTTAACAAAATCATTAACGCTTTAGAAGTACTAATCACTGAAACAATATCGAAAGGAAATACGAAATTTATGGTAAAGTCAAATTAAAACTGCTATATATTTATTTTACTTTTACCCCTTCTTGTACCTGCGTTATTTCTCGGGGTATAAATCACTTAAACTATGGAGAGGGAAGAGTTTTGAGGACAAAAACAGACTATATGGGCATTGGGGCTGCTTCCGATAAGTGCCTGAAAAGTATTTGAGATCCCGGATGCATGGCCAGCAGTCACCAATTCCTCATATGATTTCGCTACTAAACTGTTTCCTCACTGCTCAGAGAGCAGTGTTGGCCTAGTGCCTTTAGCGTGCGACTCTCATACATGAGGTCGTAGGTTCGATCCCCCGCTGTGCACCAATGGACTTTCTTTCTATGTGCGCATTTAACATTTGCTCGAATGGTGAAGGAAAACATTGTGAGGAAACCGACATGTCTACGACCCAAAAAGTCGACGGCGTGTGTCAGGCACTGGAGGCTGATCACCCACTTACCTATTAGATTTAATAATGATCATGAAACAGATTCAAAAATCCGAGGCCAAGACCTAAAGTGGTTGTGTGTTGTAGCGCCACTGATTTTTTTTTTAACTGTTTCCTCAGTTCTGCACCAGAACTGAATATATTTGCGACAGGTTTGATAAGATTGAGAGACGAATGTAAGATATTTTTAATTGTAATTAAATTTGTTAGTATTTTTTTACAATTTTATTCGCGTAATAAAATTCATTTCGTATCGACTTAGCGTAGGTTCCGCTTGTTTTTTTATATCTAGAGCACTCAACATATATCCCCTTATTTAAAATATAAATATTTTATTTAACTTTGTAAAGATTTTGTAAAAATACACAACTGAACCCAAAAGTTCGTTTGATCTGATTCATTTTTCATATATAATCTATTACTCATTTTTATATTATTTTAGGGTGTATGTAGACTATCCCCCGAGCATTCATCCAGACGTCTGGATATAAGGCTCATTGCAAACGAGCAGTATTATTGTGCAGTGCTTTATTTTACTGGGAGCGATGTGTTTAATAAGGAAATGCGTGCGCATGCATTGGAAAAGGGATTTACACTGAATGAATATTCGCTAAGACCTATTGGAGAGACTGGTGAGGATTTTAGATATTTTATTTCGAAATTTAGTCTTATTACTTTTATGCGAAACATTTTTTTCAGTATTTTTTGTTGTTAAATGATTTATTTATATATATTTTTGGTAAATATTTACATGTCAGTAATAAGCGATTTCAATGCATCCAACTTTTATCGTCATCAAATTGGTATCTAAAGTTGGAATATAACAATCCAATATTCGTTAATTTTTTTAATACCTGGTATTATGTACTATGTTTTAGGGTACGTGACTTTTTTTGAAATATAAACTGGTTATATTTTAATTAAACTTATCTATATTTCATAATAAACGTCTTTTCAGGTGTTCCAGGTGAGCCAATCGATCTCACATCAGAGGAAGACATATTCGACTACATCGATTACCCATATAAAAAGCCCGAAGAAAGGAATTTGTAATACAAATTAAACACTAATTATAATTTCAACTTATTTATTTTTAAAAATATATCTCAGTCGTATCACAAAATTCTATTAACATTACTAACAAGAAATAGAGTTTTATTACATAATTGATTTATTTAGTTTATATTTCAACTTCTTAATAAGAGTCGCGAGAGCAAAAATTTTGGAAAAGCAATTGTATATGTGTTTACCTGCGTAACTTATATTATTTTTGGCCTTTGACGAAGCGACATCAATATTTCCTCCAAAATTTTTGCGTTTGACGTGTCTATTTCATTTTTAATTGTTAATTGACATTGTTATTTGTAACTAATATATTTCATAGAAATTTTGTTATTTTGAATACTAATTATTGACAAAAAATACACTGTGAAATACAAAATGCATATCAATTTTTTCAATACATATATCCATAACATTAAAAGAAAACTTAAAGTCCATTTATTAACATGTGTGTAGCCTACTCTCGTGCTACAAACATTTTGCATATAAAATAAAACTAATTACGACTTATAATACTTTGGTTTTATGTATTAATCAGTCGATATAATCCCTGCTAAATAATAATCACGTGCCCTTGATAAAACACACATTCGACTGACTTGGTAAAAAAATACACTTCAAATTGATAAGCTCCTCCTTCGGTTTTTAAGTTGAGTAAACATGCACACGATGCTAACGAAAAATAAATGTTATATATGGTTTTTTTTAATAATGTTCTTACCCTTATCGATTTCAATGATTTACTCAAGAATCATTTAATAATTGCGTGGAACTGATGACAACAGAACGAACGACAATTATCTAAACACCCGAAGCACTTTGTCTTAATTGAAACTCAACATTGAAATTGATAAGCTATTGGAGTTTACATAGTAGCCTTAGTGTAATTTAATAATACTTCAATATGCCCGTATTGCTTGGACCTGTAAAAGAAGTCAACCTAATAGCATTTAATACAAATAAATTCCAAGCTAATCTTCTATGGAATTTTAAAAATAATTTCTATAATCAGACAAAGTAATATAAAGCGACTGGTGTTCTGAAACGCTGTAATAATAAAACTTAACTATAGATAATTTTATTATTTTTGGTCAATTGTGACCACAGAATCAGTCTCACTATTCTTAAACATTAGCAGATTCAACTTTCGTCAGGATGAACCAGCTTGTAGAGATGTGAAGTAGGGTCTGATAATGCATCATCAGGGTCCCTTAGCTCCACAACTTGTCCAGCAGATAGGACGAGTACGCGTGAGCATTCGAGTACGCCCGTCAATCGATGCGCAACGAACACGACCGTACTTCCAACGAACGAGCAACGTATCGTGTCTAATATCGTGCGCTCTGTTTCTTGATCTAGGTTAGCTGTGGCTTCGTCTACAAGGAGAATCTGTAATAGTATTTTAATTTATTATTAAAATATATTTTATTACCGGTAAGTCTTTTATTTATTTTTAATATTAAAATTTGATACTTAGTGTGGTGTTTACCGTAAAAGATGTAAATTGTGATAAAGAAACGCATTTTATTTCGTAATCTATCTCAATTGACATTTGAAGGTTTCTTAAATACTCGATCTGTAATAGCTTAGCCTATTCTAGACTAATGCGAGCTAGTGTTCTTAGTAACAACTTCAGTCTAAATACTGAGATGAAGTAATAAAAATATACCCCATTATGATATTAGTATAATGCCTTTGCATGTACATAAGTAAAAATTATGATAAAACATAAATATCTATATATATTAAGGCATGTACTAAATAATACAAACGGCCATAAACAAAAGGAACAAGAGGCTCTATGACTTAAAAACTAAAATTCAAACGTAATTTAGGCAATACCTTAGCCCGTTGCAGCAAGGCTCGCGTCAAGCAAAGCAACTGCTTATGTCCCCTTGAGAGATTATCTGCCGGCGAAGTCAAACCACCTCGGTTCATAACGAAATTGCTGATTCCACAGGCCTCAAGTGCTCGCCAAATATTATGTTCGAAATACTGATCCAACGGGTCCACGTTATCCAAAATAGTACCCGAGAATATGAACGGCTCTTGCGGTATAATACCTATACGAGACCTGAAACAATCCTATCGTCAAGTATACTTAACGCACGCCTGTAGAAAAGTGATTTTGTCTCAAGCCCCAGTTTTAGCTGTTTTATTCTCTATGAAGGTTCGATATGTAAAGCTAAATTAATTAATTTGAAAAGCATTGAATTGAATAAAAAAAATAACATAACTTATGTAATACTTTGTTGACCCTTGTACATGATTTTACGAAGTTACTAAGAGTTACTATGTAACAAACACGTTTAACTAATTACACTTAAATCAAAAACAATCAATATAGCAATCAAAACTAACATGTTATTATGTATATAACGTTATCTTTCATACTATTTCTGTATTAATAAATCGAATTATTCATTAACACTTTTGCTTATTTTTCTAATATTTACCGAAGCGCATGTAAATGTAGCGATGCGACATCAATGGAGTCGATAAGTACTCGGCCGCTCCCACACGGGGCCAATCGTAGAATAGCGCGTAGCAAGGAACTCTGAAATATACAAGCTCTTTATTCCTTTAGAAACATTTTTGACGTTCCTGTCAAAATATCATGAATAAATATGTTACGAGTTGACTACGAACTATAGTGAGGTACATACTTGAGATACCTATCATGAGGATAAAACATACATATGATTAGTCCTTTTCACTCTTGCACATTGCCTATGTGACAAAACATTTTTGAAGTGAAACTTTTTTAGGCGCATGCGGTTAAAATTGTTACGGATGAAACGCTACAATAATAATAGCGTCACGAAGATGTGCAGCGTTTTTGTCGACGAAAAGGGAGAGCGAGTGCGACCGATTGAGAAAGGGCGAACGTAGCATAAAGCAAATAGCCATGGAGCAAGAGAAGGGAGCAAGCAAGTGAGAAAGATCGAGAGAGTGAGATAGAGCGAACGTCGCATCACGCACAGTGCCGAGAGGTGGGAGAGAGCTATAGTGAGAAAGATTGAGAGAGGGAGTAAGGGATATCCAAAAATAATACACGCTATTGGTTGATGTAGACGTTTAGTAGTTACATATCAGAACTTTAGATGGCAATTCTGTCGCATAACGTCTTCGTGCAGTAAACGCAGACTTTTTATTTATTTATATCATCATTAGCAAGTATACAGTGTGTAAAGTGTGAATATAGATATACAAATACATGGAATGATCAACTATTGGGGCTTTTACTTTAGTAATAATTAATTTACAAAGAAGTTTTACTTCTGCCACGTGTACTTCGTACGCAAGTTTTTTTAACTGATGGAGGCTTATAGTATGTTTATAAATAAGGAAAATGGTTAATTTCTTTCAGTAAAAAGAGGCTTATAGTGAGAAATGTCCTCTTTAATTTGGGCATGACATCGTGTTTGTAAGACAAATCCGTGATCAGCCTTCTGTACCGACCAATCCAATTTTTCGCTTCGTCTTAAATTGAACCCATAATCATATAGACAGGTGGTTAGTCATAATCAATATTACCTTGCCGGCTCCAGTGCGGCCAACGACACCGAGTCTTTCCCCTGGATGACTGCTAAAAGAGACTCCGCACAACGCGCCATTTTGTGTACTCCTCTCACTACAACAAATTAAATATATTCACCCATTTTGAACACTTTTTTGAAAAAAAATTTCAAAATTGTGGTCGTTTTAGGTCTTACTTAATTTTTTTTTTATTTACGCAACCGTTCTGGACGGATGTTAAAATTTAACCAAATAATTAAAAGTCTATTGTATATATTGGTAATATTGTCTTATATATTAGCTACGTTACTTTAATAATTAGCTTACTTCGGGTTATTTTGTATTTTGAAGGATAAACGATTTTAATTTTATTATTACAGTATAATAGTTCAGGCCATTATCTATATATATAAAAACTAATTGCTGTTCGTTTGTCCCGCTAAAACTCGAGAATAGCTGGACCAATTTGGCTAATTATGGTCTTGAAATATAGTTCAGGGAAGGTTAAAAAAGGGAAACGAAAAATTTGAAATATTTATTTTTAGAAATAAAAAACGATCGAACGAACCTTTTGAGACAAATATATGTAGATGATACGAAGTTCACCGGTGCATCTAGTTATTAATATATTTATTTATTAATGTGTTTAACAGTGTTGGTCTCACTAGACCCATCGCTTAAGCGTGCGATTTTCATCCCCGAGTCGTGCATTCAAATCAGGCCTGTGCACCAACGGAATTTTATTTTTTTTCATCTTAAGGAAACCGTCATGTCTCAAACCCAAATATCGAAGATACGTCGCAGACGCTTCGCTTCACCTACTTGTCTATCGAGTAGATGCGGACGGAACAGTCTAAAGCTAATTCTCTTAAGTATAGGGTTTTAACGCCACTGAATTAATATTATTATTCTTATGTGGTTGCTCGTCGATACGACGACCTAAGATTAATACTAATAGCCCTCAGGCATTGATAGTGTCCATGGGCGTTATCACTTAACATCACGTGAGCCTGCCCGTTTGCCTCCTATTCTATAAAAATAAAAATAAAAGAAAACTTCCTGCGCTTCCACCTCTTGCCAATTACTGGCTGTCACCTGCAGCAGGTCATCCTCCACTCTGTCAGCCCAGAGGTATCTAGGCAGACCGGCTCAGTTTCTCGTTTCGCCGGCCAAGAAACTTTTTAGGTCACAGAGCCAGCGTAAACTCTTAATCGTAAAATATTATAATCAAAGTATACAAATTCTTTATTATAGTAAAAAGACTACCTATAATTAAGAGATACATCTTCGAAGCTTATGACTCCGTGTGATGGCCAGCCGTAAGGTGGAGGATCACCATCGACTTTCTCCATTTCCACCTGAAAAAATATAAAAAATCGTTAATAAGCGTGTATGATTTAAAAATAATGTAAAATGCTTTTTATGTGTTAGTAAAATTAAATAGGAACTGGCTCAATTACGTACTTGTCAAC